GGGTTTTTCAGGAATGTCTTTCTAGTTAAAACAGTCTTTACAGTTAAAACAGATGCTTTGTTCTCTTCCAGACCTAAGTAGTGATATCACAGAATCATAGAATCACCAAGGTTGGAAAAGACCTACAAGACCAGCCAGTCCAATCATCCACCCATCACCAATAGCTCTCACTAAACCATGTCTTTCAACACAATGTCCAAACGTTCCTTGAACACCTCCAGGGTCAGTGACTCCACCGCCTCCCTGGGCAGCCCATTCCAGTGCCTGACCACTCTTTCAGAAAAGTAATATTTCCTAAGGTCCAGCCTGGATCTCCTCTGGTGCACCTTGAAGCCATTCCCTCTAATTCTATCACCAGTTACATGAGAGAAGATGCTGAACCTCAGCTCACTAAAACCTCCCTTCAGGTAGTTGAAGAGAGCAATAAGGTCTCTCCTATATAATGGCATTGTAAGCTATTAAATTAGATGCCGTAAATTACTCACTGAGTTGGCACTATTTTCATATGGAATAAGTATTTGCATCTTGTGGAAGTACATTCTGGTGAAAAATTCCTGAACACAAAACAGTTTTTACTGTCAGGGTTAGTATCCTGTTTTATAATATTTTATTTCAATGGCCACACGAGCAGCAGTCATCCTGATGACACCAGCATGGCATCCCCAGGCAACCCCAAAATGTCCAACTTGCACCTACATCTGAGATAGAATGAATGCAGGTAATGGGCTGGAACTTTAGTGCAGAACTTGCTGCAGACAGTGAGGACAGCAGCACTCAGTTACAGGTTCGTGAGTTGATAATTCTTATATATTTCTGGAAATAAAATGCTTGAGTAAAAACCTCATTAGTTGCCTTGTTCTTTTAGTCATTCATTCAGCCATGAGTGGTGTCATAGTTTTATGATTATTGGTTATTGGTATTCCACATCAAAACATCATGTAGCACACTGAGATTATTATCACAATCAAGTATTATACAGTAAAGTATTGACACTCTTTATGGAAAAAATAGTTAAATTTCCATGTTACAGATAGCTGTGAAGATTTTTATGAGCACAGCACACAGTTCTTGCTCACTGCTGGCCACCAACCTTGTGTCTGTGAGCATTGTCCAAATTCCCCTTGAACTTCAACAGCCAGGGGCCGTGCCCACAGCCCTGTGCAGCCCATCCCATGCCCACCGCCCTGTGGTGCAGAACTGTCCTCAACCCCCAGGAGCCCTCCCCTCACACAGCTCCATGCCATTCCCTCGGCCCCTTGGCCCTGCCGCTGTCACACAGAGCAGAGCTCAGCACTGTTCCTCCATTCCGTGCCATCAGGCATCCCTTCAGCCTGCCCTACTCTGGGTTTACAGACTCAGGGACCTCACTCACTGCTCACACGCCTTGCACTAAGATCCTTCCCTATCTCTGCAGCCCTCCTTTGGACACTTTCTCACAGTTTTAGGCCTTACATTGTTGTGCCCAAACCTGCACCCAGGACTTGAGGTGAGGCCACAGCAGTGCAGAGCATTGGGCAGCAATGTGTAATGCAAGGTGTAATGATACAAATGCTACTGATGGTAGCAATATCAAACAACATCAAACTTACTATCACTGTTTCCAGTCCCTAGCCCCTCAGTGCCTGATAGTTCTCCACAGCTGTTCTCCAGATTGTTTCCTTCTCTGCCTTTCTGTCAACATTTCCCATCCCCTGCTTGAATTCATGGTTATAAAGCTGTATTCTGCATGCATTTTGAACTTGGAATCATTGGTGCTCTCTCTTTTCACTTTTTCCAAAATTCAAATGGATTGAGTAATGAGTGAGAAAATTCATCTCGTAGTTGTATGGATTTCTTTTATTCTTACTTTTTTCAGATCTAATCTGGTGGTTGTGTTTTTTAATTGACTCGAGAGCTTATAAATCAGTAGTGTCAGAATGTCCAGGGTTTTATAAGGTCATGTCACCCCTTAGGCATCTCAGCATGGTTACTGTGTTTTACTTTCTGCTGAAATAAAACAAGAGAGGGGGACAATCCCTCCTATTCCAACCAGGGTATGGTTGGCCCTTTTGGCTCCAGGGTGCTGACTGTGATATAATTTGCTGTTGGCCAGAACCTCTCAGATCCCTTCCTGCAGGGTGTTTTGCGATGACTCATCCTGCAATCTCTACTTATAGCTAGGGCTGCCCCACTCAGGTAGAGAATTAAGTACTTGCTCTTGTTCTTCTTCATGCTGTTGGTAATTGCTCAGCCTTGCCATTTGTCAAGATCTCTCTGTAGTGCCTCTCTACCCTAAAGGGAGTCGACATCTCCTTGAAATGTTGTCCTCAAACTTAGCATCCACTGAAGTGCTGTATCCAGACACCATCTCCACATGAAAAATTTCCCTTATAGATAAAGCACTGGATCTTGTAGAAAGGGATGTGATTTAAAAGGCTTAGAGAACATCACTGATTCTATTGAATTGCCTTCAAAATTTCTAAAATATCAAATAAAAGAATAAGAATCAAAGAGGAGTTGCACATCTTTTTATGCCATCAGCAAAATATACTTACCTGGTGCCTTTTCCTAGCTGGAGCTACAAAGCAGCCTCTAGGAGACTTGTTGCAAAGCATTGCCTGAATACATAGTGACAACCTTGCAGATGACAGTAAGTATCCTGATTTTTTTTTTTTATTTTTTTTTTTGGCTGTTTCTCAGTATTTTAAAGTTACTCTTGCTGTAGTAGAAATATGGATGAAATATATTTTGGTTTATATTAAGGTTTTGGTTAGGACTAGGATTGGATTTAGGATTAGGTATTAGTGCTGTGGCTAGTGTTAGTGATTATAGTTAGGTCTAGTTATAGTGTTAGAATTGTGATTAGAATTAGTTATTAGTCTTTTTGTTAGGGTCATAGATTATAGATTTTAGATAGGTTTAGGATTAGGGATATTAGGATTCTATTAGTGCTAGGGTTAGGATTATGGTTAAGGTTTAGGTTTACGGTTAGTTTTTAGGATCAGGAATTAATTTAAGGGTCTGAGCAGAGTATTAGGGTTAGTACTGGTGCTACAATTAGAGATAACAGAATTTTTGTTAAGGTTATGTTTAGCTTTGAAGTTGGGGTTAGGGTTAGGATTATGGTTATTACTTTTTTGCTAGGGTAAGGATTAGGATTATTAAGGTTTTGTTATGGAGTGTTCTAGGGATTAAAATTGTGGTTAGATTAAATGTTTAGCATTTAGGATTAGGCATTATAGTTAGGGTTAGGTGTCAGATTTAGAGTATTAGGGTTAGGCTTAGTGTTCTAAGGGTTAGCTTTAGGGCTAGAATTTAGGGTTAGTGTTATGGTTAGGGGCCATGGTTAATGTTAGGGTTTAGGGTTAGCATCGCTGTTAGGGTTAGTGTTGCTGTTAGGGTTGTTGTTAGGAGTTACAGTTAGGGTTAGGGCTTACAGCAGGCATGTCCAACTCAGGGTATGCAGGCTGCATATGGCCCAGAGCAGCTGACAATGCAGCTTTGTACTATCTGCTCCCCACTTCCTCTGCAGCTCTGCTCCTCCAAGTGGCCCAGCCCTGCCCTATGAGCACACACAACCCTCAGCAGCATCCAAATGTCAGAGCACTATTAACGCTGTCTGAGCTGCAACCAGGGCACAGGGAGAGTGCAGCCTGAAACATATGCTGAAGAGATAAATTCCTGCATCTGCTGCTTTTCTGTTGACCAGAGCATGAACAGCAACTAAACATTATTTGTAAATGATCTGGTATTTAGCTGACATAAGAACAACTAATTTGAGCCCAGAGCTAGCTTAAAATTGTTCAAAAAGTATTTAATGCAACTGTGTAATTATTATCACAGTCCAGTATTATACAGTAAAGTATTGACACTCTTTATGGAAAAAATAGTTAAATTTCCATGTTACAGATAGCTGTGAAGATTTTTATGAGCACAGCACGCAGCTCTTGTTCACTGCTGGCAAAAATGCATAATATTGGTGGCAATGTTGAAAAATAGTGTTCTGTAACTGAGAATTAGCTCTGTCAAATAGTGTTACTGTTCTCTTTATATCCGTCATAGTTTCCATAGAAATTAATAGGAGGCATTACTTTAGAGTGATCTCAATTTTATAAACACTGTGCAAGGACTGCAGCCTTCCACTGTGTGTCATAAATTGAGTTATAAATTATCCTCTGCTGTTCTTCAGTCTCTAGGCCTATGTTTTGCCCAGCAAGAATCATTTTGTCTTTCCAGAATCTCTTCTCAGCACTTAGACTTTAGACAAATCTTTTTAGCCCACCCAAAGTGGACTTACAGGGCCCCGGCCAGAAGATTTTTTCTCTTTTATCTTGTATATGGTGAACAATATGCAGTATCGTAGAATTCAACAGTAAAGAAAAGGGATCCTAAATTCATACATAAAAAGACTTGTTACATGACATTGGATTAGGATGCAAAGCTTAGAGCTGAGCTGTATACGTATCTGGTTCTGAGAACCTCCCTGAGCAAGTCCTGCAGGTGTAGCTGGTGTAAAGCTATTTGTGACCAAGTTCAAGAGTAAAGGAGAGAATTTTGAAATCCCTTCATATCAGTAAGAAGCTTGCAGTTACAGACAGTGTTACAAACTGTTGAACATGAAACGGATGATACAAATCTTTTTAGGACAACTCCCTCATGCCCCCCTCCCAGCACACAAACAAGAACACAAGTTTAATGTGTGACCCCTGCCAACCTCAACCTGTGATTCTGTGATTCTGTGGACAATGTGATTATGAAACGTAGCAGTGGGGGATACTACAGTGAACCGAAAGCATATTTTGGAGGGCAGAATACTGCTACCTGGAGAAAAAAAAAGTGGCCATTAGTGTCATGTTAAAAGTTTGAACTAAACTATTATTATAGGGGACCTCTGTCCATAGTGCCAGCTAAGCCATTTTTTTTTTGTTCTCTGCTAGTAAGTGACACACACACACACAAACACATCCAAGGGGAAAAAAAAAAAAAAGAAAAAAATAAAGACAGAATGAACACTTAAAGTATCTGAAGAATTTGAAAGACGCTATTTAATACAACTCTTTTGTTTTCTGGAGAAGTCTGAGAAAAATCAAATTACAGACATTTGTCCTTTTATGAAACCAAAGGTTTTACAATATTGTTCATATAATTCTATATGGAAAAATATGGCTTTGATCGAAAAAGCTAATAATATAGACATAGAACAGAAAAGGCAAAGTATCAGAAGGCACACGATAGCAAAATGATGTATCAATGAGAATGAGCCTATTTCTCTTTACTTCAAATATGTTCTTTGTTTTTTTTTCTCTTTCTGCATTAGTCACCGTATTAAAGAAAGGATTGAAAGAATTAATAGGCTAAATATATTAGCATTAAATGGGAAGAAAATGACTACCAGCAATTTGAAAAAACACTTAATTGACATGAAACTTGACTTAGCAAAAGCTGTACCTTTAAAACTAACCTTTTCTGAAAATTACTTGCTTGTTAAACAAATAAATTAGAGACAGAACATAAGGCATCTAAACAAGGAGTCCATCTGTAAAGATGACACCCCTTTATCTGTTATGAAAAATAACAGGCCTTTACAATCTGCATTCTAGCTCCATCTGTAGGAAGCTTGGACATAAATAATTTTGTGAATCAGCAAATATGCATATGGATTTCTGTGTCAGCTCTGGTATTTCTTGCAGGTCTTTTTGAAAGCCTGGAGCTTACCCATTAGGCAACTAATTCTAGCTGCCCTCTGGAATCTTTTCTGAAGTGAAAAGAAAGGGAAGATGAGAAGGAAATAAAATTGAAATCATACTATATGTCATCAACCCAGATGTCTGAACTGCTTTATATTTATTTTACATATATATGCATTAAAAGTTACAATAAGGCCTTTTCTTTTTAATGCAGGATTTTGATTCTATAGGAACTAAGTACAAGTCTTTTCTCCTGGTCTCAATTCATGTGCTACTGCTCATCCTAAGAGACTACAGTTATGGTGCTTATGAAAGTAGGCATCATAAACTGTCATCATTTGCAGATAAGAGTTTCAGCCTATCATTGGATATTAAGTTTAACCTACTCTTAAACTGGCTTGCTTGTATGAGTTTCTGTTTTCTCTTCAACAAGACAGAGCAAAACGCAGACTGCAAAGCTACCTGAAAAAAAAGAAGAAAAGAAAAACAAAAGTCCACTCTCACTCAGTTGATGTGGCTTTTTGATATCCAAACTGACTCATTTAAAACTGAAGGCAAGCTGAAGGGCTTGATTCCAGGCACAGTTATTTTTATAGCTATACCAAGGGACTCTTCTGATTTATACACAATCTGCACTGACAGCAGAGGACTTGTTTTGTATAACTTATTCCTTAGACCTATTCACTTAGACAAATTATTGCAGCAATTTTTAGTCTAAATGTATTGTTAGATATTATACTATTTATATCACAATATTGAAAAAATTTTCAGCTTTTCATACATGTGGACTAGCATTTATCAGATGAACTGCATGTGTTAAATGACAGTAGTGTATTTCCATTGAAAGTGGTATGCACACTGAATCAGTACTTTATTTTCTCTGCTTAGAGGCGCAGTTATTCCAAAACTATGAGCGCTGAGTCAATCAGTACAAATTTCTCTATGGTCATTTGCAAAGGACTACATCCACTGCAGCTGATACAAGAAAATGACTGGTGTTTGTATGAAATTATTTTAACCAGTTTGGGCATCAATTACATTATTTCTTTGCAGATTTATATTTCTGCAGCTAAACTTGCCTTGATTTTGGGGTTTGTTGAAGTCTGTCTTACATTCAAATTTTTAGCAGTAAATAATACACAGCAGTAAAAATTGATATTAGAATTTGAGTTTAGCAATGTGAATCTGGAGTTTTGAAATGAGAAACTAAGAATCAAAGGATTTTTTTTATTCCTTTGTTGCTCTAAGTATTCTTTATTCTCTGAGACAATTCTTTCACTCAACTTCCCCACACTTGGCTGCCTAGCTGCAAATGCTTTGCTTTCCTCAGTATCTGCAGCAACATGTTACTAATTAAGTATCAGAGATGCTGTGACAGATGTGGTTAATATTAAGTAAAGTATTTGAATATATATATACATATAATTAAGAAATTCTTGCAGCTTTGGTTGTATTCAGTTTTCATTAGCAGGTCTATCCTATCACATACTTTGCATTAATATGTTTCAAACTTGGTAATACAGCAAATGCTTAACTGCAGAGTTGTTTCTACAACATACTGAAGTTCATTTAGACTACAGTTTCTGACAACAATTTCGAAACTCCTTTAGGCATTTTCCCCCAGTGTCTAGATTTGTTTCTGGAGAGTAATCCAAAGGCACAAGATCTGTTTGCCTTCTTACTGTAATATGGACAGCACATTAGCATCAGTCCCAATCCCTTAGAAAACTAATCTAGATGTACCCTGCAGGACATTCCCTGTAGTGTGTAAGACAAAAGCAGTTAATTTCTCAAGTATAATACTTTCTCAGCATTTCTAGAATAGAAACTATGCCAAATATGATATATGAAACAAAGTACACACCAAGAGATTTTGATTGACTTCTCCAGATCGCAGCTTTTAAAGGACCTCTTATTGCAAAGGAGAAACTATCAAGAAAGAACCTGGTGGACAATATCAAGGGAAAAATGAACAAACTTTGCTAGGTCTCCTGTTTCTAGACACTTGGTTTTGTACTTTTGGCTGCTTTTTATGATGATTCAGAAAAGTCCATGGGACATCTATTCCAAATAGTGACAAACGTTATGGAAGAGGCAAAAGAAATGACCTTTTGATCTGCTAAAGGCTTTCATCAGAAATAAAAATAATATACATGTAATGTATGTCCATTGTATTTTACAGATTGTAGATTCGTACCTCTGGATGTCTATTATAGAAAACATATAATGATTTATCGAGAGGACAGGCAGCATATCAGTTGTCTAGCAGTGAATGAAAAAAACTTTATATATAAAAACTTTATATCTTATTGCACATCTATTAATAAAACCACCTTGAATTCTTTGATATAATTACATTAGAGGCGTTACTATAGAAAAAGACGTCTATGAAGCAAGTATCTTAAACAAAACTTGTTTTTCTGGCTAATTTCATTACTGTTTAAATTGGTAACCTCTGAATATTAAAAATAAGTATAACTTTAAAAGATACAAATAACTTTCAGCATAAAATTAAATACTTACATTGAAACTACCCCCAGAAAATCAGCTTTACATAAGCATAGTGACAGCGGTTTTCTGCATACCAGTACTACATTCAGCAATACTTAGCAATTCAGCACTATGTATCCTTGAGAAGGAGACTGATGTCAAAACCACTAAGTATTTCAGGGATCCAGTAACACAGACTGATTTCTTCTTATTTCAGATGTAGAGCACTTTTGTTTAACTGACAAATTGGATTTTATTTCCCAGTCAACTATATCTTTCAGTGACCGATCATCATCCAGTCCTGAAATAAATGTTACCTGATTAAAGTAGTAAAGGTTAAAACATTTAAAACACATGCTGTAGATCTCAGAAATCAAGTCAAGATGTGTAAGGGCAAGAATTATTAGAGGATTTATGAAATCTGCCCTGAACAAATTAATTCTTCAGTTTAGCCGAAGGCCTGTCAATGAATTCAAGGGCTTTACAAAAAAATGGAACATCTGTTGCATATTTAAGGATTCTGTTTATATGCGAATGTAGTGGATTATTCTTTCTGAGACAGGACACACAGTTTCCATGAATGTATTTGAAAGTCAATTTGAAATTGCTCCCTTGTCTTTGAGAATTGAGTACTTGCAAAATTATTAACCCTTAAGCCTTTGGAGTGACAGAGGAGCATTAGACCTTGAGTGAAGTTGAAAGATATATACGTAAGTCTGGATAATGATATTGTCAAAACAGCCGACTGCCTCATCTGAGTCAGTAACAGCCTTTTCCCTCCCCTCCCCTCCCCTCCCCTCCCCTCCCCTCCCCTCCCCTTCCTTTCCCTTCCCTCCCCTCCCCTCCCCTTCCTTTCCCTTCCCTTCCCTTCCCTTCCCTTCCCTTCCCTTCCCTTCCCTTCCCTTCCCTTCCCTTCCCTTCCCTTCCCTTCCCTTCCCTTCCCTTCCCTTCCCTTCCCTTCCCTTCCCTTCCCTTCCCTTCCCTTCCCTTCCCTTCCCTTCCCTTCCCTTCCCTTCCCTTCCCTTCCCTTCCCTTCCCTTCCCTTCCCTTCCCTTCCCTTCCATTCCCCTTCCCCTTCCCCTTCCCCTTCCCCTCCCCTTCCTATTCAATTTTATAGATATTCAATGACACAAAAATACAACCAGTGGTTTTAATAGTATTGTAATTTGCTGATGATGTCACAAAAAATTTGTATTCTATTTGTAACAGCAGTTATTGGAAAATGGCTGAGAATTTGCTGAAATCAAAGGCACACTTTTCAGTTTCCACTGTATTGTGAAATGTCTCTGTGTTCTGGGTACTGGTTTAATAGATTTATTATATTGAGAGCTGATTCAGCAGGAATAATATGTTGTACTTGTCCCAGACATTTGTGGTTTCTGACAGCAGCGGCAGTCAGATCCTCATAGTGAAAGAGGTTGACTCATTTTAATATCAGGGAAAAATACCCCATGAACAAAAATATCCCCGCCTTCTGCATGGACACATAGCATTCTTACATTATTTAGGGACATGACTGTTGAATTGTTTGACAAGCCTCCACTTCAGCTTGTCCAGCTCCAGTTTGCATCTTTTAGCATATTTGTACACATCTGTAATGTTCCTCTAAAAAGTGCCACTTCATCAAGCCACTTCATGTTGATAGATGTTCCATACGAATAATGCAGAAAAGAAACACAGGAAATAACTTGTATAAAGCACTGCATTATACTCATAGTACTGGAACAGGATTTTTTGTTTAAACAACAGTCATGTATTCTAGTGGACCTTCAGAGTTGTTTTCCAGCATGAATACTTTCTTCTCTTTTGGTTTTGTATGACTACGTGTCTCTGCACTTTTCCTTAAAAAATGTATGTGGTTCACACAATTGAGGTAAATTCCTTAAAATAAGTCAAAAAGAAAATAAGTTTTATCTTTATGCTGATAGTTACATGTAGTTTTTTCTGAATTTTTGATCATCACAGGAGCCTAAAAATTCATAGATGGTATCACATCTGAAAGGCAACTGTACAGTTTCATTTGATTAGCAACACGTTGGGTAGGCTTGACTTGATGATTAAGTTAGATGCCTGTTTAAACAGGTTGTACATTCAGGTTTAGTGATTTTAGTCACAAAAGCTGCATGTCCATTCTCCTACACTATACTGTATTTGCGTCTAATCTGTTTAGGAGAATTAAATAATAAGTTTCTTGTCATTTGAGTATAGTTTACTCCACCCTCACATTCCTGCACCAAGAAAAAGGGAAGGCAAAGGCAAAGAAAGAGAAAAAAGGATGGAAAGGAGTGAAATCAAGTTTCAGGAAGCAAAATGTTTTATTTTTTTCCTGAAGGAAAGGATTACAAGAACCAAGCTCTCCATAAACATTTTCTATGTCTACTGCTCCTAATGGAGAGCTCTGTTCCATTTCTGAAATAGTTTTTATTTGTAAAATGAAATGGGTAACACATAATAAATGATCCTCTGAAGAACAATTACACTGATTTGGCTTAACCAGGCCCAGAGTAAACCTGAAACTGTTCTACAAGCCTTTTGAATGCTCACATATTTTTCTGAAACATTCAGAACTACTCTACGCAACTATCTGCTACACATTCAATAGAGCTGACAAGTCTCATTATCCAGTTCCCAGTCTAGGCAATCATGAAATCTGAGTGTTGCTGACATGATCCATTTATATACAATATTCCTTTAAGGACACAACTTTCCTCAAGTTGCCCTTTAACCAGACACTTGAAGGAAATGAATCAGTACATTGTAACACTTGTGGAATCAGTCTCAGGTTTATTCAAGCTGAACACCGCATCACTTGGCAGACAAATTTCAACGGGCAATTCTGCAGCGTGTTATTAGAATTATAAGGCTCTAGCTTTTAAGATCAAGGAAGATTTAGAACTGTCCTATTTTTGAGAGAGCAGAAGTTAGTAATACAAGGTATAACTGATTTACTGGGTTAAACTCTTAAGATGTTATCTATTTTTATGTACACATACAAGTGTTATGCAGCATTTTCAGTCTTGCTTAGTTAGCATTTTCAGGCTGTTATGACAGAAGGTAAGAAAGCAAAGAATGATGTAAAGGTCTTGTGAGTTATTAACAGGAAGATAAGACTAAAATATGCACACATTTATGTAAGTAGTAATACAATGTCTTTTTGTCACTGGACAAACTGGACTCGGGCTAAGCAATCTGCCCAGTATCTAAAGCTCTTCATTTTTAAGCAATGGACAGAAGAAGCAGTTTAGGCCATGGGTGTCCAAACTTTTGGCTTCCCAGGTTTGCACTGAGGAAACAGGATTTGTTTTGAGCCACATACACATAAGCTGCTCTTAAAGTAACATCTCCTGTTCATTTCCATGAAACGACACGAGATGCACAAGTGGAAGTGACCCTCTGTTGTCACTGCTGAAATGCACCACCCACAGCCTCATTGTGCTGACATCCATTGTTAGGGACTTGATAAACATTCAGCAAGCAACAAAGAACGTCACTGGGTGCCATTTTTTCTGCATGGAAGAATTCAGTGATACACCTTTGCATTATTTGCACTTCCATGTCAGCTGCCATTATGTCAGACAGCCCCTCTGCATTTGTCCCATGACAACAAAATGCAAGAGAATATTGGTGGGAAGGTTCAACCCCCACTGCCATCCCATCAGCATCTGCTCCTGATGTTCTAGTAGGATACTTGGCCTTGTTTTTGTGAAACTAATGCATCAGTTTGGTTTAAAGGAAGTGGTTGTAAGGTTTTGATCAGAGATTTTTCGTGAATTTTTACTATTTCTGAATTTCATCCTTGACAACAGCTGTTCACAAATGCCAAAAAGCATTCTCATGAATAAGGTATGATTGTGAAGCAAAGGACATTTTTCTCTGTCAAGTTGGAATAGTCCAGTTCTTCAACCACTACTCTCAATTGTTTATCATCTATGCACCTTGTCCCACCATCTGAATCATAAATGAAAACATTTTGTTCAGCACTGATGCCAGAATTGAACCCAGCTACCAGTAATGGGACTGAAGCTGAGTTGCGCTGCTGATAACCCCTCGAACCATTAAGTTCAGCCATTTTTCAGTCCATCTCACTGTTCATTTATCTAGTCCATACTTTATCAGTTTTCCTATAAAGGATATTATAGAAGAATGTGCTGAAAGCCTTGTTGACATCAAAATAAACAATATATGATGCTGCCCTTCCCTAGTCCACCAAGCCAATTGTTTCAGAAGGCTAACAGGTTGGTCAAACTGTCCGAATATTGCCCGATTTCCTGAAGTACAGGGTTACAATCCTACTGTTTGACTTTTTACTCTCCTCTGTGATCCCAGACTCCACCATCTCATGATTACTACAAGTAATCCTACCTGAAAGTTTCACATTTCTGACCAGATCTTTGCAACTATCAGACTCAACAGGACATTCTCCATCTGTTGCTTCTTTGATCACCTGTGCCAAGAAGTTATCAGCATGTCCTATTGCTTTCACTCAACTGTATAGCTCTTAAATATTTCTGCGGAGGATGAAGACCCCAAAGGGTCAACTGCCCACTAGCAGAAGACTTTCTCAAGGTATCCAAAAAGGGCCTCATCTTCCTGACCTGGAAGACTGTAGCAGACGTCCATTGCAACATTGTCCTCTTTAGTTTGCTTGTCTCATTTGCTCTGAGATCTGTTCTCAGGCAGAGCTCTCTGAAGTATTATCTGCCAGTCCCACTCCTCACTGTCCTGGCTAGTATGTCGTAAACTGCCCAGATCTGTCATCACCTGCAGCTCAGCCATGAGCCATACTGCTACATTTCTATGATCCCAAACAGACTGTGAGCCATACAGCTATACACAAGGACTCTAATTCGTCTTCTTGATACCTTATAGTGCGTGTTAGTTTCCAGACACTTCTGAGTACTTTGCTAGGCTGATTTCCACTAAGAATTGTGAAAGCTTCTTGAATACTACTTATGGAAAATGTTTTAAACAGTGTGGCAAACATCTGGAACAGAAAAAAAAGGCCTTCCAAAGTGTTTGTTCAGTGCATGTCATATTACCACATTCCTCTTAGTAGCATTTCTAATGCTGCTATGCTTAATTTTTGTCACCAAAATGAACAAACTCTTTCACAATGTTACACATGAACATTTCAGCGATATAGCACATCTTTTAATGTTTATCCCCATTCTCCTACTCATTTTGGCTCTTACCTAACACTTCTCTTATGAAATCTAAATCTAAGGTCAATATGAGCAAAGTTCAAATTTTCACATGCAGTTTAGATATTTCAAACTTTTCAGCAACAGCAATAGTTTTTCAAAATAGCCTTTTCACAAATCTTTTCCTGCAGAAACACACAGTGTGAGGTGTTTTTTATGCCTTAGCAAATAGCTCCTATTAAAATGACTTGAGCTAGAAAGAACTTCTGTATTCTAAAAACTTTGAAAGATAAATTGCAGAAGTAAGTAATTCACTAGCTTCTGAAAACAGTTTCATTATGAGCCTGGTCTTTTAAGAATGTCCTTATGAAAGGAGTTTTGATCTCACTGGGCCAACTTCCATTTTCTAGCCTTTTTTTTTTCCTTCAAAGGTGTGTAAAGATACAGAATCTGCTTGTAATTCATGAGAAGAATTTTATCTACTGGCAGAAGAGGTAACCAAGTGTTCCTGTTAAGTATGCATTCCTCCCTCTGTTGCCCCTGCTTGAGAGAAAGCCTTACAAGAGTATACCTGACAGAAAAGGAGACACATACTAGTACCATCCATCGGATTTTCAGTTCTTTCTCCAGCTAAGCCACTGACATCTTACCACAGACTTAAATGTATAATGAAGCACAGGCAGAATATTAGCCCTTAATATTAGAAAAATTTAAGCAAGAGACTAATGTGTTCATTCCCTTCTATTATGACGTTGTAATATTATGTTAGCGACAGTAAAACAACAGCTGCACTCCACAGGAAAGAATCTTTGTTAAGCAGAACTATCTCTGTACTAGTCAAATGCAACATAATATTCATTAAATAAACACGCTATGGTGTGAACAAACATTTATCTTCAAACATGACCTAGTCTAAAAGTTTGCCTTAGAATGACAACTTACATGTTCCTGCAGAATTTTCTAACATGCTTTGAGGGCTGAAATTCATTAAGTTTCTGAGGGTTACATTCTCATTATTTTGCCAAATTTTCAAAACATCATGCTGTTTTCAGCTTTGTTTTTATGACAGTCTGGCTACTGTCACATTCCTTTAGAATCAATGTAGCTAAACATTACTACATCTGTATTTTAAAAACAACCAAATTTATTGGTATTGTATTTTTGAACAACCTACCCCAACATATATGGTATCCAATATTTATGTAGTTTATTGCTGCAGCAACTCTATCAGTGCTTCCACGCCTGCTATTCTTCTGTTAGTCTAATACCACTGGCTCATAAACCACCACACATATTCAATTAAATTGTTACAAGAAAATTCCATCTAACAGCAAAGACAATGTACAGAAGGAACTTCATCTTGCTTTGAGTTCTGTTGAGTCCTCATTCATCTGAGAGTAGGCAAGTGGCTGCTACCTGCAGAAAAGCACACAGACTCACATTTGGTGGAATCCATTGCTGTGCTTTGCTCCTAGCAGTGTTTTATTCAGAGCAGCAAATGCCATGACACCCACTAGATTCCCTACTGCCTTGCTGGCACAATCTCTTCCCTTTTTTCTTCCTGTATGAATACTGCTACAAACAACAGCAGCATTAAAAGAAAATTCAGTTAAAAATTTAATATGTATCAAGGTGTCTAATTATTCAAGCTGGCAACATTCCTTTCAGGGGCTCTTCAGGTGCAAAGTCACACCGTTCATCTGTCATAAATCTGCACAGCAGTAGCTCTACAAGTACCACAATCCAACCCTCCACACATCCTACAAAAGCACTTCTAAGTCAGTGTGGGTACCACCATGCTGCTGCACTCTGTGCAGATAGGAGTTGCTCCTGAGCAGTCCTTTCCCAGACACTGGCCTCACTACAACAGCCCCATGGCCCACAGCTCCATGACAGTCCTAAGGCTAGTGCCCAAAAGGGCCACAGACCGCTGCACTACAAGTCAGTGACAAACCGCAATGGCGGAAAAGGCCAATCCGAAGACCCCGAACGGCGCCCTCGTCGTTACGTCGCAAACTTCCCACTTAAGGCCCAAGGCTAGCAACCCGCGGACAGCATTTCCTAAAGCTCTCGCGAGAAGTAGCGCAAGCCTCGCGATATGAAGAGCCGCGCCCGCCCCTGCTGCTCTTCTCGCGGGATTGCTCCCGCCCCGCTGCGTGGGTGGCAGCGTCGTGCAGGGCCTTGTTAGATGGTGAGGGTGAATCTGTTCGGTCGTTATCGGAGGCTGAGTGAAGGCAGAGCGCTGTAACATGTCCTCAGCAGGCGCGGCGCGTGCGGTGGCTGCTCAGCGTCCTAGCGGCTTCCCGCGCCCTATCCCGGCCGTGCCTCGCCGCGGGGTCGGTGAGCGGTGCCCGTCTCTCGGCTGCCCTTGGGGAGCGTGAGCGTCCCGCGAGTCCCGGCCACGCTGCTGGGGTGATCCTCGCCATACCTGCACTCACGTCGGTTGAGATGGGTGATGCGTGGCCAGGTAAGCGGGTTGACGTGGGCTCCCGGATTGCGAAAGAGTGGGTCTGGGTGCCACCGGGCCCCTTGCCCTTCTTTCACAGAGTGTGGGCTGCGGGGCAGAGGCGTCTTGCGTGGGGCAGCTGTCCCACGGGTGTGCTGATAGCCCCTCGCCTCACCCAGCAGCAGAGCGACGCTGTGAGGAGTGCCGTGGTGCACGGCTTAGTGACGTTCCCTTACAACAAATATCCTGTTTTGCATTTCTTCCTTGGGAAGATTGGAAGCGTGTGTTTGAAGTGGACATAAAGTGTAGATGCTGAAGCATCTTTTAGAAGATGCGTCGATTAGTCTCATGTTTAGTAATTTTGCTGCTAGGCTTCAAATTCAGAAAAGATAATGCTTTTCCATTATGGTATCTTAAGTTTCCTTTTACAGCAACTTATTAGAGTGTAAAAAAACCTTATATTCTTTATTAAGTTGTCAAACCTCAATAGTTAAAAAGCATTTGTGGTAATGTGCTTATACTGTATAGGGGTAATGAAATAAGCTCATCTGTGACTGCAGGCCATTATCATCACGGTCTGAAATGGTCAATATGTGTCATGGTGCACTTTGTCATATATGGCAACAGACTAGATATAAGCAGTCATCTTGAATGCCATCTGTTTTCATTGATGGCTATGCTGGAAGCTGCAATAGGTAGATGTCCTGATTTGCAGAGGTTTTATCCTACTTAAATGATTGTTCAAAAGAAGATAGTGTAGCAGTTTTTACTTTGGTTTGTACAGCGTTATTTTCCAGAATCTTGTAGTACTGCCATCCTTAATACTGCTGTTTTGCCACTTTTCTTTTTATTCCTCACTTTGTTCCTTCTTTGTTAGTTTGAGATTTGTTATTACAGAGTTTACTCTCCAGTACTCTTTATTCTACTCTGCACACGTCTTATGCAGCTTATAAAAATAAATGTTAAGAAACAAAGGCTTTGTCATATTAAATCATAGTATTAACCTGAATGTTTAAGTGCTGTGTGTCACTTCAGATATTATTATGAAAGAGAGTAACAATGAAAATGCTCTCTATTCTAAATTTTGTTTTGAATATTTCGCAGAGATCTGTCTGCTGCTAGTTTTGTTTTCCAGTATTCCTTCTTAATTTTGAGAAATTGCCCAAAGGTTTAGATGGTACTGGAAGAAGATCATACGTTTTTTGTGCATGAATTTGGTCATGTTTTTGAGGCAGTACATGTACAAATACTTCAAGAGGAGAATAATTGACTGTATTTTACTGAATATACTGTCTATAATTAACTGTTTGCCTCAAAATGTTATTTTCAGCTTCAGATACTTTGGAGGAGGTATGTAGTGTCTTACATGCAGGGCATAGGGTGTGGGATGAAACTTAGTTTGAGCAAGGATGATGCAGGGATGGAATGAGTGTTCTATGGAGATGTTATTCTAATGGAGTGACTCTAGTTTGTCAGCTAGTTAGTACAAGAACTAGTGGCCATTGGTTTAGGGTGCAAGTGTATAGCAGACAAGATCTTGTTGCACGTTAGAGAGCAGACCTGTGAGTCTCATATAGTTGGGGGACACCAAGTGCAGGAAAACTGTGTGTGCTGAAGGAAGAACAAAGCTACTAGGAAGAAAGGTTCATTGTTGGTAAATACGGTAACCATACTTGGGCCAGGAAATCTCCTTACTCATACTTCAAGTCATTCAAAGACACACACCTCAATTCAGATTTTAAGAACTTCACATGTGGTTGATACTTATTGGGCCTGCTTTTTCTGTTATTGTTTTCCCCCTAGGGTGAAGGCCTTGCTTTTTCTAGTATTTTGTTAGGTACTTCCTTGTCAGTACAGTATGAATTCTTTTAACTCTTGTACAGTGCTGGTCTGATATTTTTCTTTCTCTGTTAGCAACACATGCATCATTAAAGATTGTATCAGAAATGTAAAAAATAAATAAAAGAAGCAGCTCAGTTTTCTCTGTTAGTGTTTGATATGCAGTATCAATGGGGTAAGACCTTACAGAGAAAGAGAATAGTTGAAGACTTTACAGCTGCTTAAGGAATTCAGTCAGTTACCCACTTTGGAGAAGGACATAGGCAAATGTTATCCTCATATATGTTCTTATAGTACGCTTCTGTTACTTCTGAAATAAGGTTTTTTCTTCCTAATGCTAGACATTATGAGGAGAAATGTGCTTCATACATGGTTGTATTTGTGAAACAACTTAATGAAACTGAAGTACTGCATTCAAGTAGATGACAAGTGCTATCTGTTGTAAAGGGTATTTTGAAACAGGTGACATGGTTTATTAATTGGATGCTAACCCTGTCAGTGTGGGCTTGTCAAGTGAAACTTACCAATCAGTGTTTGCATGAGGTTTTTTTCCTGGCAGGCTTTCAGGTATTTTAAAAACAGCAATACAAACACTGTATTGCCTATTGCATTGCAAGTGCCTATCTTGGAATTTGGTTCTAATCAGTAATCGGTATTGTAATTCTAGTGCTGCCTTCAATAGAGCCTTGAAATCTTGAGTTATATGCCTTTCTTGAAATGAGTTAGTATCTAATATTTAGGTCAGTGTTTCCAAATGTAATACTTTCTGCATTTGGCCAGTTTTTCATTGTGTTATTTTTGTTGTTGTTTTGTTTTGTTTGTTTCCATAGATAGATGGCATGTTGGGGAGAGATGCCTTGCACCTTGTCCTGCAAATGGAAAGCTTTCTGAAGGAACAATATCATCAATTGAAAAGGACAAGAATGGAAAATCATTTGCTGTTGTATCATTCTTGGGATCTGAAGATAAGAAAATACTAATATCTGAGCTCTGTAAAGTTGAAGCTGGTAGATGTTCCTGGAAGAGTGTGATATTTGATGACAGTGACCTGGAAAAGCCTTATTTTCCTGGCCAAAATGTTCCATCTTCAACAGTTGCTTTTAAGTTATCTGATGACGGTGATTTTATCCCATATACAATTAATAGATACCTACGTGGTTATCAAAGGGAAGGAGCCCAGTTTCTCTACTGGCACTATGCTAATAAAAGGGGATGCATTCTTGGAGATGATATGGGCCTTGGAAAGACAGTACAGGTATTTATTTTATTATAACAACATTGAGACAATAGATTCATTTATTTGCTTTTTGGCAGCATGTTTTCTGTGAAGAGTATTTATTTTCTAAGTTGACTAAATAAAAGCCATATTGTAGAAGGTTTCTCTCCCTTTTCTAGCATGAAGTTGGAGGAGGCAGGATGTGGCTGTTTGTAACAATACTTGAGAGGATGGAGTCATTGCTGATTTAAGATAAGCTTCTGACACTCCACAAAACTGGGATGTGATTGTTTGTATTGTAAAGCTTGGTAGTTGTGGCAGTTAAGATTTTAATTAGTGTTTGTGTTATGTTGAATATATTTTATGGATTGATACTCACACATGATGAAAGTAATTTGTTGCACTGGAGAATGCTGCTAGTACATACACCACTTAACAGGTCTTAAAATGTCTTTTTACTCTTTTTTTCTTGAAAATGAGTAGTTTGACTGTACTTACTAGGAACAAAAAGAAGATGCGTGTACTACCCCATCTGGAAAAAGTACTGAGGTGTTACATAATATTTTTATCATTATTGAAAATGCAAACTCTGCTGATGAAGAGACAAAGAATGGCTGAATTTTTTTCATTATGCTTTGAATAACTGCAGCCCAATTGATTCACTTATTTTTCTGAAGTAAGGCTGTTTTTACATTTGGAATAATTTTCTTTAATCTGTTTGGCTTGAGTTAGCACCTTGAGTCCTATAACAAATAGTCCTTGTCCAACTCTCGTTGCTCTTCCTTTTTGTGAAATGCAAGCTCATTTTTTTGCTGGTAAATACTGGCTGTAGCATGTCTTGTGCATCCTTTTAGGAGAATGTCAGCTGATAAGACTTCTTCTGTGCACAAATGTTTGTTCTTCAGCAAACTTTACAAGAGAAGTGAGTGAACTAAATTGGCAGAACTTGCCTGAATAGAGCATTTAGAGGAGTATTGTGCGTGTGTAGAGAGCTGCTGCTGATCTGTTAACATATTAGTTATAACTAAACTAGTTCCATTTACCTTGTGTTTCACCTTATCTCAGATGCATTCCTTGTTCATTGCAGCTGAGTAAATCAGTAATTACTCAAGAACTGCAAATATCCAACTTAGTATTGAAAGAAACCTTTGTATGAGGTAAAAAAAAATCAGGAGAAAAACAAGCTGTCCTGCTTCCACCTCTTTTCTTGAATCTCATGGCTGATTCTGTGATGAACAGGTCATGTTTGTCACACAGTGGCAGTGTGTTCTTTTGTAGAATTTGCATTTTCATCATAATGTCAAGTTTGTAGAAGAAAAATACAGTTTTTGAATACTGTCTTAAGTATTCCTTTCTGAAAGAGTATTTGCTTTTCTCAAGTGTAGTATGGGTAAGAGCTGAGAAGACATGAATAGGTGAGTTTACTTGTTTCAGAGATTCCCATGTGTGAAGGAATAAATATTAATTAAACTTCACGGAGAACCAGCTAATTGATTTACAATCTTTTAGAAAATTTTGCTTTTGCTTATCACTTGGCTGAATATTACGATTTCTAAACTACAGAGTGATGAGAATAAGAATCATTTCTAAATTACAAGGCATCTGAGAAAAAAGCTTTTCTTCAAGATCGTATCGTAATGTACTTTCTACTCTTGAAATTTTTGTTTGTTTGAATTTGCTTTAGTGTGTGGCTGTTTCATTTTGAGTTGTAGTGAAGGTAAGTAGAATAATGTTATGTTGTAATAGGATTGCAGTAATTTAAGGCTTCTTGTCAATGACTTTAGATTGCCTCCTACTTTTATTTGAAAGAGCCAAAAGTTTCTCATCAGAATTGCTCCTTTACAGCTTTTGTTGTTTTTACAAATTTGTGATGCAAATTCTTCCAAAAATGGAAGATCTGAAAAAACATGTAGATTTTATTTTTTGTTCTATTGAGAGTAAGAATAAAATTCAGCTAAACAATGCTGAAGAAGCAACATGTACAAAACTTGCAGCAGCTTCCTAGTGTCTTAGCTTATATGAAATGATATGAGAATTTGAGGGATAGAACATACAGAAAACCACACTAACTTATCCTACTGCTTCCTCATGTAAGATTCATGTGTTTGTCATTTGTCATTTCCAGGAAAACTGCAGTACATGCCTTATCTCTTTCTTTCTCCTTTATCTTCTATATTGTATTTTTGAGGGTTTACCACTTAGAAAATGAAAGTGCAGTATGGAGCAATGAAATGTTCTTATTGTGAACACAGGTTTCTCAGTTAAAAATGAGATCAATTTTTTTAAAAAAACCTGAAATACGCGTATTAACAAATGAAATCCTATTCAGGATTTTGTCTGAAATATGTATTTTCAGAGGGACTTACTCATTTTCTGTCGGTATTTTTGTACATAATTACTGAGAGTTGCTTTCTTTCTGAAGGTCATTTCATTTTTGGCTGCAGTGTTACGCAAAAAAGGAACACGTGAAGATATTGAAAACAACATGCCGAAATTTTTACAGAGGACAGTGAGAAAAGAATCAAAATGTAAACCTAACAAGGTACAGCTTTTTACTGATAAAACATCAAGAATTTTGGTAAAATGCAATACTTGTTTTGTTGTTTGTTTGCTAGCTTTTAAAGTTAATATATACTGATTTTCAATGTTTGGTTAATTTAACATGAGAAGACAAATGCAACTCCTGGTTACCATTGGTATTTTATGTTATTGGAATTTGAGTGGCAGAATGATTGTATGACTGTGAAAAAAATTGTTCCTTTGTAAATTCAGGCAAAGAGGAAGGAAGAGATGAAAGGATATCACTTAATGTGAAAAAACATGAGTGCTTCTGACTGGCTCTAACAGAAGAAGTAGTTTACTTCAAGGACAATTATGTATTGGAACAGGTAGCAAAGAGAGGTTGTGGATCTTCCATCCTTGAAGGATAGTATAGACTTGAGTGAGAGAAGTTCTAACTGCTTAAATTCAGTGCTGCCCCTTCTTTGATTGGAAAGCTGGACTAGAAACTGATTTTATTATTCTGTGATAATATTGTACAAGCTGTCTTAAATTTTTAAACCTTTTTTGATATCTTTTCTCATGCATTGAACTACATTTATGGCTCAGAGGAACTTCCTTACCATTATTTTTTCCATCTCTAAAACATTGAATGGTGTAATAGATGTTATAATAAAGCAGTATGGTAGTATATGATGTCTTACTGCAGTTCACTAAAATACCAGTGTAACTTTGGATACTTTGTATAGCATTAGTGTATTTCTTTCTGTAGTATTTACACACTCTGTAAACTCATTACTTCTAAATTTGTATAAATATTCAGGTATTTTCTATACTGTGCTTTGAAGCAACGCAATTTAATAATTCAGACTATGGAGTAATAAGATAAATCTCAAGGTTATGACTTTTCACATTGAGAATTTCCACATTGATAAAGTGCTGAGCTGTAGATCTTCCAGTAAGACTGTAACAGCTATTTCATATATTTCAGACTTTCCTCATAGTTGCCCCTCTTTCAGTGCTGTATAACTGGAAGGATGAGTTGGACACATGGGGGTACTTTAAGGTCTCTGTCTTACACGGCAGTAAAAAGGAAGATGACTTGAATCGTATCAAGCAAGGGAAATGTGAAGTTGCCCTTACAACATATGAGACTCTTCGCCTGTATTTAGATGAACTTAACAAGTAAGTATTACTCATTGCATTGCAGAAGAGAACTATGTTTGTTAATTTATTAATTTATTAAATTCCTAAGTCCTAAAAATAAGTCCTCCTTTGTTTGTCCTATAGCTGCCAGTATTTTAAAACAGAGGAGCCCTTCCTTTTGTTACGCTTAAGAATACTTAACCCTTCACTTAGCAAAAGAGAATCACTGGGGCTGTTACATCTTGGAAATAGATAAAAGCTGCATGAACATTTCTGTTAGCTGGTAGAGGCAGAATGCAATAGCTAGTGTTGCCCTTGATCTTGCAGTGTTCCAGTGGTAGGTGATTGAAAAGGGTCATGAACCTCAAAAGAGTGTCTTACTGTTTTGAATAGTCATCACCAGTAAAAGTCTGATCTCCAGCTCTCTTTGTGCTCATCTGAAAAAGAAGTGCAGATAGGAGACATTAAACAGCTGGTGGCTGGAAAAGAAGTGCATGTGCACAGCCTGTGTCAGTGCAGCAGGACTTATGTGTGAATGAATGCACTGCTTCACTGTAAGGATTTAACAAACTCAATATACGAAGCATTTATCCATATAGGCATACAGTGTTCATCGAACAGTCTTAAAGGCTGTGCATTTTGCTTAGATAGAGTGATGAGTAGGACTCAAACTGGTCTTTAATTAATTAATAATTAGCAGATTTTAACAAGATCATAAACTCAGATTTGATTGAAAGTAATTAACAGGCATCATATGTGATTGCCAGATCAGTTTTCAAAATAGTCATCTAAAATTCATTAAACCCAATCAGGGGAGAGATTTTTTTTCTAAACATGGCTGCTGCAAGTAACGTTAGCGTAGAAATGAACTTGTTCTGAAATATTCGTGCATATCATAGAATCACAAGGTTGGAAATGACCTACAAGACAATGTAGTCCAACCTTCTCCTCATCACCTTTGCCACCACTAGCACTAAACCATATCATGCAGCAAGTCATCCAGATGCCTCTTGAACGCTGCCAGGGACGGCAACTCCACCACCTCTCTGGGCAGCCATTCCAGTGCCTGACCACTCTCTGAGAAAAAAAGTTCTTCCTTATGTCTAAAATATAAATAAATATAAATAAAATTTAAATATAAAATATAAATAAATAAAAATAAATATAAAGCTGTCTCATAAATTTGTTTCTTCCTAGGGACTTAGTTATTTAAAATTCACAGAATACAGTTCATTTTTTCATGAAATTTGTACTTGATCTGCTTGCAAAGTATCTTTCAATCTCTACTTCTAACTATGATCCTCTTGGTTTCAAAATTGCAAAATATTAGAATACCTTCACAATATTGGAATCATACAGGTCTTGAAGTAATTGAGTAATGCTTTCAGATAGTAAACTACCATTAGAAATGCTTTCAGCATATTTTTATCTGGATGGATATTGTTAGGAAATGCAAAACACAGCTGTGCTAATCATGGTTCAGAAGCTCACATTAAGAGATTTATACTGTTATTCCAAATCTTACTTATGAGTGGGATTAGTGCTGGTAAGGCGTGTGTCCAGAAATGAAAAGCTGCTTTCTTCACAGAAAATATTTGATGCAGTTGACAATAGTTCATCTATTTTATTGTATAGCTTAGCCATTATAATTAAATTTACTAAGCAGACAAAAAAGTGGGTAGTGCAATGTATATGAAATAAGAAAGTAAAAATAAGTACTTTTTTTTGTTGTAATAATCAAGACTGTACATGTAACTGATGTCAGTTTTTGTGTATGTGAAGTGATAAGTAATTCCAATTAAGGGAGAATATTTTTTCTTGCTATGAAGTATAGAGTGGTCTGCTGTCATAGTGGATGAAGTACACAGAATCAAGAATCCAAAATCTCAAATAACTCAAACTATGAAGTCCTTAAAATGCAATGTTCGCATAGGTCTTACTGGAACCATTCTTCAAAACAATATGAAAGAACTTTGGTGTGTCATGGACTGGTAAATAAAATACTTTTTTTTTTTTTCCTTTTGTTTATCTTTGTTTACTAAGCATGCCTTCTTCCCCTCCCTTTCTCCTTCCTCCCCCCCCCCCCCCCCGCCCTTCTGCGCCTCCCACACACACAAAAGAAAAGGTCTGTTGCGTAACTTTGGACAACATTGTGCCTTTGTTTTCTCCAGTATGTGCAGGTCATTCTGACTTACTTGGAAGTAAAAATTTCTTGCTAGTCCAGAAACATTGATTGTAAGCCAAAACAATTCATAATATGCTTTTAATCATTGGAAAAGCATAGGTAGCCTTGAAGATGTTGCAATTCCCTCATAACCAACCCCTACCCAATGTTTTTGATATTTTTTTTTGTTTGTTTTTTTTATTGTGATTTTTTTGGTGTTTTTTTGTTTGTTTGCTGATTTTGTTTCCTTTTTATAGGGCCTTACCAGGACTTTTGGGTAGTAAAATGCATTTCAAGAGGAAATTTTCTGATCCAGTGGAGCGTGGCCAGAGGCACACTGCAACTAAAAGAGAGCTAGCGACGGGTCGTAAGGCGATGGTAAAGCTGGCAAGAAAAATGTCTAGCTGGTTTCTGAGACGTACAAAAGTGCTTATCAGTGATCAGTTGCCAAAAAAAGAAGACAGAGTAAGAGCGCTTTTGTATTTTGAATATATTATATCTTTTTTTGTTGATTTTGTTGTTTTTTCTCTTTCATCATACCTCTGCTAGTTTATGCTTTTTTCTTGGACTTACAAAATTAAGAAGAAACTAGAGCCTTAAAAAGAATGCACGTAAGATTGTGTGCTCTGTTGGTTTAGTTACTATGATTGCTTACTGAAATAGTTATCTAAGCATGAAAATGCTCAGCTAAACTTTTGGCTAGTGATTTACACATTTTATGTGCCCTTTGCCACATGTATCTTTGCAAATTCAGTGTATGTAAATCTCTTGAAATTTGATGTAGGATTTTTGAATTTGCAGCTTGATACTTTGTACATAGAAAAGTTTGCTTTTAATCTTTTTTTTAACTCTCATTTTCAGTCAGTAAGTAGAGGGAAACTCGCCAGATTAAAGACAATTATCTTAGTCTGTAATCTTTTTCATCTGGTGCTATTGTAAACATCACATAAATCAATAATTCTTTATGGCTAATATTGATTTCTCTTATTAGACATGTTTCCTTCTAAGTAGATGGACACATTAATTTTCAGATGTTTGTATTCAAAATTCTGTGTTCTTCATCCTAAGATTATTATAATGTCATCTAAGCTGTCTTGTGAAGGGAAGATTAACACAAACATTAGTCAGTTGTCTTTGTAAATCTAGCAGGTTTTATTTCCATTCTCTTGTTGGTCTGAGTATATGTTCAAGTTACTGCTATATTATTATAGCTCAGCATGGTGCTGTAGCAATGTGGGTGGCCTATGCCAGGGAACGATATTCAGATATGTCTCCTGCTGGTTAAGACTAAAGATGTCATGGAGATGCCACCCATGGTCTCTTAGAGGATGGATAAGTGTTTTAGCCATAGCTGTGTATAGAGTACTGCATTCTCAGTGCTTCTTCTGTTTGTCCTGCCTGTGGTACTGCCCTGCAAATAGCTGGAGCCTAAGAAGAGAAAAAGGGCAAATTAAGCAACTGGCAAAATGAGGGAATCCTGTGTTATAATTACGCATTTATGTCTGTCACTCTTCCTTCATTCTCTTAGTCTTCCACAAAAACCCTACTGAGAAGTTTGTAGAAACCTAAAAGCAGGTTATTATAACTTGATATTGATTCTCTTTCTAAAATTTTGGGAAGGGATAAATTAAGTTTACATTCATTTTGTATATAATTTCCAAATACTTTTGTCAGCATACAGGTGGTTTTGTTTTTGTTTTTAATATGAGTAGTATAGCTTTCTATCAACGTTTGTGCAAATATATTATTATTTTCTACCTTATGTGCAATGCTCCATGCTTTGTTGATTTTGTTCTGTTTGGTGCAGTGCTCTGTGTTTCTAATTTTATGCTGCATGTAACTGCATTTTTTTGGACTTTTATTTTTACAGATGGTGTACTGTTCCCTGACAGAATTCCAGAAAGCAGTATACCAGGCTGTGCTGAAGACAGAGGATGTAAACCTAGTATTAAGAGCAGGAGAGCCCTGCAGCTGCAACAGCGGCCGTATAAGGAAGAATTGTTGTTACAAAGTAAGAACTTAATTGTCTGAAGTTTATAATGTAGACTTTCTGGTTTGAGCAGAGGGTAGGTATTTCTCAATATGCTCTTGCCCATGAGGAGCTGCTTGAAGTGACTGCCTGGTCTTAAGTCATCTGTTTGTGAAATCTTGACTAAAAACATTGTGTCATGCTGAAGTCAGGCACTTCAGGACTACAGCATGACTGCTTGGCATGCCCTAAACAAAAGGTCATTATTAATACAGTATATTTGGAATGTGTTGTATTAAATACACCTGGTGTTGGAAAGGGTATTACATTGGGACATTTTATACTTGTCAGGTATGCGGTTACTGTGCACCATAGATGGTCAGTACAGTAGCTGCAAATAAGAGACCTCCTGTACCCAGCAGATTGTCTGAGATATAATTGTTTTGTAATTACAGTTGGATTGTGTCTTCACTCCTAAAAACATGCTTTGATTTACTTTACTGAAAGGAGAGCTGTAAAAGCAACTGTTTTATAGTGCAAGTAGAACGTTATTCATTAGGAACAGCTCTGCAGATTTCTTCCTTCTTTGGACTCCTTTAACGCTAATAGATCTAGCTTGTTTTTGTTTCTCCATATCTCTTAGTAGACTCAGAATGCCTTTTAAATATTTTCTCTCTTTTACTTCTAAACTGTTTAGGTTGTTGCGTACTGTTTTTTTTCTTTCTTGTTTCTGAAGTAATGTAGTGTATTTAGTCTTATGCATCTCTATTGGAAAACAATCTATCATCCTGTTGAAATATGCTATGAAAACTAGCATTAGCTCTTTGCAAGCTTTAGTTATCATTGTTTTGTAGAAAGAAGGTGCTGTTGAGTTTTGTTCACTCTATGCAGACTAGTGGATACCTATATTGCTCTTATGGACAGTCTTACTCCAAAGTTAAACATGAAGTTTAACTTGAGAAGGGAAAGGAAACCAGTATTGATAAATCAATCAACTATAAGCAGAAAAATAGCTGTTGCTGCTATTCAACTATTCAGTGTTTAAAGTTCTTTATGTTAAATGAGATGTTTATGAGACTCCACAAATTTTTGAAGTAAATAAGCAGTTGTAGGTTAAGAAATCATTCAAACAGCACTAGTTCGCTTTCCATTTATTTAAATTGTAAAGTTGCTTTTCTTACCAAGGAATTCTCTTATCGTAACAATGTCTGTGTATGTCATACTGTCTGAAATGTTTATCAAGCATGTGGTTTGTTGTTTTTTTTTTGTTTTTGTTGTTTAAAAAGCTGCTTCACTTCCTATTAATGGAATCATAATGTTGAGAAGAACGTGCCTCAGTTTTGCTAGAAATAAATCATTTGGAATCAATTTCTGTACTATTTGAATTCCTAATGCACTAAATCTTCTTGAAATAGTATTTTAGTGTATTTCTTATTTTTAGGAAAGTTTGTTTTTGAAAGTATTAGCAATACTTGTTGGTTCTGCTTCTTTTTTTGTTTTATAGATGAATTCCCACGGTGAAACAATTAAGTCATTGCAGTTCAGTTACTTGACAATCCTACAGAAAGTTGCAAATCATGTTGCATTGCTGCAGACAGACAACACTAGCAAGCAGCAGGTTAGTTTTGGAAGTACTTAAAAAGTGAACCTTTGGAAAATTAGATTAAAGCTCTTGAATAAAAATTGCTGTTGGCTTCTCTTTCAGCCTTAACTTACTGAAATTCAGATATTTTGCAAAATTATTTTTTTGTTCAGTAAGTGAGAATGTAGCCCTTATTTAATAGATATAAATATAATGAATCTCTAGTTCCAGTTGATGAATATCTGAAAATGGGGTTTGCCTTAACAATGGAGAGCTTTAGTAGAAAGTCACTTTTAGTGATTTTTTTAATAATCCCATTTTTAGTGCATTTCTGAGAAGTGAGAGGTAAGTTTTTGTGCAAATAAATAATAAACAATGAGAACATGTTTTGTTTGTTTTTTTTTTTCCCTCTGGAATTCTATATTCAAAGCAGAGTTTCTCTAAATAATATGGGAAATGTTTTGGTAGAACAGGGAGAACGGTATTGATTTATCTTGTTTTCCTGGCAAATAACCATTACAAGAACTTTGCTTTTTAGGAAGCTTTACTGCTAGGACTCTAGGGTCATAAACTGTAAATACCCAAGTGTTTTCACTGTTGTTTTTTTTTTTCCTGTATTGTATGTGTAGTTTTTACTGTAAAAAAATATTTCAGAGTGATTCCTGGGTAACAGATGAGGTATTTTCTGCTCTTCCGGAAAAGGAGACTTAAAGTGTGTGGTTGCATCCTAGTTCTAGCAGTTCTAGCAGTAAAGTTTTATTTTACTTTTGAGTAGTTTAAATCCATTTCTCGTATTGTTTTTTGTCATATCAATTGAACTGTAGAAAAAAGATTCCCAGAAATGCAGTTACGCTACGGGGTCAACAGAAATGCTGATACACAACTGCTGGGCTATGAAATGTATGAAATTTGAATTATTCCAGCAGATTACTTGTTTCAGTTTTATGTTTTACTATTTCAGTTGCTAACTTTCAGTTTCAGTTTTACTATTACCCAGTGTAATTCTGATTTTTAATGCCTTTTGAAAACTTTCTTTCAGGAAACACATATCAAACGAGTTTGCAATGAAGTGTTTTCCAGTTTTCCAGATTTTATGAAGTTAAGCAAAGACGCAGCCTTTGAAATAATTTCAGATCCAAAGTACAGTGGAAAAATGAAGGTAAATGTATTCTTCAGAGACAGAAATAAATATTACTAATAGTAAAATGTGCTGTATTATATGGATGTAAGAAAATGCATGCCTACTAGGTGTTTTGTTTTAATAATTCTGTTTACAGTGGTAAGTAGCACTTCAGAGATAAGCTGTTCTTAATCAGAATGCCATCTTGCAAAGACTAGGAAAGAGAAATTCCCTTTTGTCCTATCACTATCTACCCAAGTAAAAAAAAGTTGATTCCCTTCTTTTTTATAATCTCCTTTTCAATGATGGAAGACTGCAAGGAGGTCAACCCTGAGCCTTCTCCAGATTGAACAAACCCTGTTCCCACAGCCTGCTGTTATAGAAAGGTGCTCCAGTCCTTTGATCATCCACTGACTTCATGTCCTGGGAGCCCCAAGCCTGGATACCATTCTCCAGATGTGGCCTTTCAGAGACAGAATAGAGGGGGGGCAACCACCTCCCTGTCACTACTGGTCACCCCTCTTCTGATGCAACTCAGGATACTGTTGACTGCAAATGCATGCTGCTGGCTCATATCCACCTTTTCATTTACTGGGACCCTCACATCCTTCTTCCACAGGGCTCCTCTCAAGGAGTTCTCCCAGTTATCTGGGATTACTCCAACCCAAGTGCAAAATCACACACTTTACTATATTGAATGTCATTAGGTTGATGCAGGCCCACTTTTTGACCCAGGTCCCTCTGCGTGGCTCTCTTCTAGCATGTCAGCTGCACCACTCGGTTAGTGTCATTAGCAGACTTGCTGAGGGTGCACTCAAGCCCATCATCAATGTCACTGATAAAGATGTTGAAGAACACCAGTCCCAAGACAGATCCCTGGGGGGAAACTGCTCATCACCAGCCCTCATCTAGACATGGTGCCATTCACCATAACCCTCTGTCTGTGGCCTTCCAACCAATACCTTATTCACCAAATAGTCTACCCCTCAAGTCTATATCTCTCCAATTTAGAGATGAGGATGTGGTGGAGGACCATGTCAAAGGCCTTGCAGGATAGATGACATTGGTCACCTTCCCTCTGTCCACCAGTGTCATCACTCCATCATAGGCCACAAGACTGGTCAGGCATGAGGTTCCCTTGCTAAAGCCATCCTGGCTTCCTCAGATCTGCTGTTCATCCCTTACATGTCTTAATGTATCTTCTAGGATGATCTGTTCCATGACTTCCCAGACACAGAGGTGAGGCTCACTGGCCTGTAGTTCCGCAGGTCCTCCGTCTTCCCTTTCTTGTACACGAGAGTGATGTTTCATTTTTTCTGTTCCCCAGGGACTTCACCCAACAGCCATGACTTTTCAAATATGAATGAAGTGAAAAGAAAATATGAATATGAATACAAATGAGAGCAGCTCAGCAGCCATATCAGCCAACTCCTTTACAGCCCTGGAATACATGTCATCCAGCCCCATAGACTTGTATTTATTTGGTCACATGAGGCAGTCTTAGAATTGCTCTGCCCCCTTGCAGCGAGGGTAGGATTTGCTCCCCCTGTTCCCACCTAGAAACTAAGGGATGCAAATGTCAGGGATATGAGAAATAGAAGAATCCTGGCTACCAGCGAAGAGCAAGGCGAAAAAAATCATTTAGTACCTCAGCCTTCTCCATATCTGTTGTAGCCAGTTCTCCTTTTTCAGTTATCAAAGGAGGTGTGCTCTTTTCGGCCTGCCTTTTCTGGCCAATGTACCTATACAATCCCTTCTTGTTTTTAACATTCCTCATCAAGTTTGGTTCCATCTGTGCCTCGGCTTTCCTAATTCCCTCTTTGCAAGTCCATACAATGGCCCTGTATTATCCCCAGGTGACATACTCTTGTTTTCACAGCTGGTACAATCTGTACTTTTCCCTCAGTTTGACCAGCAAGTCATTGCCAAGCTATGCTAGTTTCCTGCCTCCCCTGCCCACTTTCTTATTCTGATGGATGGGGAGTAGCCAGCTTTCTTCCACGCTCTCCCAAAGTTCAGTATCCTGATCCCACTCTTTGCCAGTCCCACATTCCTTGAGATCACAAACTCAACCAGGGCATGGTTGTTGCAGCCTAGGCTGTCTCAAATGTTAATGCCATTAATGTTCTTTTCTGCATTGATGAGCACTAGGTTCAGCAGCACTTCACCTCTTCTGTCTGGTACTCAAACCAGAAAGTTATTGTCCATAGACCCCAGGAGATCCCTAAATCTCTTGCAGCTTGCTGTTTGGTTTTCCCAGCAGATAACTGAGTGATTTAAATCAAGACAGGTGTCTGTAAACATGATGCTTCCTGCAACTGAAGGAAGAAGGTGCTGTCAGCAGGCTCCTCTTGATTTGGTCGCCTGTGTTAGACCTCTACCAACAGATGTGCTTTATTAGTCCTATCCCTAATTCTAAGCCACAGGCTCTCAACCTGCTCACCATTTCTCAGAAGGAGCTCCTCACAGTCCATCCAGTCTTTAGTGTAATGTTGAGGGCAACTCTGCCCCCCTTCCTGCCTAGCCTATCCTTCTGAAAGTGTGATACCCCTCTGCAGTGGTATTCCAGTTATGGGAGTAGTCCTGCCACATTTGTGTTAGCAACTAGATCATAATTTTCCAAGTACATCGCTCATTCCAGCTCCTGTTTCACATGATGCATGCATTTGTGTAAAGGCAGTTCAGCTAGGCTTTTTGACACACCACTTTTCTAGAGGGGCCCTCCCTCAAACCTCTAGAAGAAATCTGAAGTTTTCCCCTACTAGTTCCCAGGGGGTCATGAGAAGGTTTCAGGTGGGGCATTGGTAACCTTACCTCATCTGAGCAGTTCCCAAAAGATTACTACAGGACAGTTCAGAGGTTTCTCCCCACCATTTCCTGGCATGACAGTAATCTCAGCTTTTCTTCGTAAGAACAGTGCTCCAGTCCTTTGATCATCTTTCTGGTCCTCCCCTGGACCCACTCTAAAAGTTCCACGTTTTTCTTTTTCTGGTAGCTCCAAACCTGAACACAGTACACCAGATGGAGCCTCACAAGAGCAGAGCAGAGGTGAATGATCACCTTTCTTGCCCTGCTGGCCACCCTTTTGATACAGCCTTTTCCAGCCATTTTTAAAGCCTGCAGTAATTCTCATGACTATTGTATCTGATTATTTCTGTAGTTTTGCTGAAATTGTGGGTAGGAGTGGCTCTGTATTTTTTCTAAGTGCAAAGGGTTTCTAAATGACAAAACACTTGAAATAGTTCTTTATAAAAACAGCATGTATAGTGTTTCCACAGGCGTAGAATGAGAATGGAAGAGGGGAGGGGTGTATGTCTCACCAATTATTTTAAGACAAGTTCCATGAAGTTCTGACCTCAGATGTAGTACAGAAAACTTGGACCATCCTGTTTTCAGGGGAGCTGTGCTCATTTGTAAAATGCAAATGCTCATAACCTGAACTGCACCTGAAGTGCTGTCCCTCTTTGCTCAGGAGACCAGTTCTCCTGTAGGCAGTCTCTGAGACCATAGGTACAAACATGGTCTCCACTTGACAGCGGGCTTGCCCCAAGAAAGCAGTGGTGACCCAGACAGAGAGCCTGCCCAGAAATATGGCTGTTCAGGCCTCTGGCTGTAGGGAATGTCTGAACCTGCTGCTGCCTGGGGAGGGTGCCAGGAATTCCACCTGTATGAGCTGCGAGCAGGTGGAAGAGCTGCTTAGCCTGGTGGTGAACATCAGGGAGGAGGTGGAGAGAGGCTAACCATCTGGGAGTGTGAGCAGGAGACCGACTGGTAAAGTGACTCACTGGTGTGCTGAAGCGAAGGATGCAAGGGAGGTACTCCCTGAAAGTGATGGACCCCCTGCCTAGTTACAGTCAGGTTGACCTGACAGATTATGAGGGTTGGAAGAAAAGTCCCTTCTGAGTACCATGGATGCACCCCCAGCCTGCCTACCCGGCTTCCCCAAGTTCCCCTAAGCAATAAGTTTGAGGAGCTGGAAATTGAAGGGGAGGTGAGTGAGGAGGTGACGGAGAATCTGTGTAAGAGGGGACCTAGGGCAAGGTGATCATCCCCATACCTTGAGACTGCTTCTGCCAGGAAAGACAGGAGGGTAACTGTGGTAGATGATTGCCTTCTCAGGGGAGCAGAGGGCTACATTTGCAGACCTGACCAAACCTGTAGGAAGGTGTGCTGCCTCCCTGGGGCCTGGGTCAGCAATATCACCAAAAAACACCTGGGTCTGATAACTACCCATTCAGGCAGGCACTGATGAAGTCACTCAGGAAAGCCTGTGAACTATTAAGTGGTTTCAGGGGTTTAGGGGTTTGAGGAGGAGTGGGAGTGCAAGTGGTATTTTTATATCTCCCATTTGGGAGTGGTGAGGGATACAGAGTGGGCTGGGAAAACACAGGCTTGATTAAGTGGCTGAAAGGCTGGTGCCACCACAGAAACTTTGGGTTCTTTGACCATGGAGCAGTTTACTCAGCTCTTGTGAGGCCTCATCTGGAGTACTATGTCCAGGCCTGGGGTCCCCAGCACAAGAAAGACAGAGCTCTTGGAATGGGTCCAGAGGAAGGCCACTGAGATGATCAGAGAGTTGAGCACCTCTCCTGTGAAGAAAGGTTGAAGGAACTGGGCTTGTTTAGCTTGGAGAAGAGAAGGTTCCAGGGAGACCTCACTGTGGCTTCTGATACTTGAAGGGAACACATAAACAGGAGGGAGTACAACTGTTTATGAGGGTGGATAGTGATAGGACAAGGGGAAATAGTTTTAAACTATGACAGGGGAAGTTTAGGAGGTTTAGATATTAGGAGGAAGTTTTTCACACAGAGGGGTGGTGTCGTACTGGAACAGTGTAGATGTTGTGGTTGCCCCATCCCTGGAGGCATTCACGGCCAGGCTGGATGTGGGTTCGGGCAGCCTGATAAGTGTTCCTTCCAGCCTCTACTATTCTGTGGTTCTCTAATTCTGGTGTACCTTTACATAAACAGCATTTTGTTGCAGTCTGTCCACTGATAGAAACAGTTTGTGAGTTTATATGTTAGGGACTACTTCGTTGCAGTGCGATTTCAGTGGAGACTACTGAAAAATGAATACATGGATCAACTCTGTTACCTTAAATATTTGTTAATTTAAAAGAATCATTATGTTATACCTCTGTTTGGCTTTGCAAATAGTTAGCTAATGTGTCTTGTTTAAATGTTGTAGAAATGAGTGACTGTGCATGAGATAACCTGTAGATCAAATGTTTTCATTTGCATTGTGTGGTTCATTTACAGGTCCTTCAGCAACTTCTAAATCACTTCTGGAAGAAAAAAGATAAAGTTCTTCTCTTCTCCTTTTCCACGAAGGTGAGCTCCTTATGGCTTTTCTCAGTTGACCGCAGCAGTAAGTTCTGAAGTGTAAAGAACTAAGGACATAAACAGCTGTCACTCATGTTTCCCTTCTGTGGTATGGGAAATGATGGTGGGAGGAAAAGTGTACATTACTCCAGAAGCATGCTGAAACATTATGTTATGTCATGATGAAAATAGTAGTAGTAGAACAGATGTAATGCTCTGCTTCCCTCTGTAGAGCTTTTTATAGTTGTTTTAGTACTTAGATGTATATGGCTCATACCAAATTCACTTGATGCATTTTCATTTAGAGCAGTGTCACTGCAGATTATGACAGAAGTATACAACTGTTACATTAGCACTGCAAAGCATAACATTTCCTTCAATCTCAGCCTTGAGACTAAACTGCTATATCAGTTTGTTCAAGCTTTAATGCTGTTTAATAGGAGCTGGACTAAGACGCTCCGAGATTTTCTTTTTCTGGAATAGTGTGTTTCCTGAAGTGAAACAGCCTATAACATAGATTTCTTTAGCTAAATGATAGTATTGTTTAAAAAATTATTAGAATACTGTGAATGATAATTCTGAATCATTTTGTGGCTTGAAGGAAGATTGCAGTATTTAGATGATTTAAACTGTAGTTCAGTGTTCAAGACTAGTCTGACTGCTGGTCACTTGTTTCTTTTACTCCATCCTTATGAGCTCTTGCTTTGCATACCAGTTGGTTTCTGTGTGTTGGCTCTGCTGCTTGTTTACTATACTTAAGTCAGTTTAACTTGTTAATATGGTAGGAAACTGTTCTAAGTTGCTACCAACTTATTTAGGTTAACTGATTCAGCATCACTTAGAGGTAGGGTGAGCAGTCAGGGCTAGAGAATGAGACCGTGGCAGACCCGTGTTAATCACCTTAGAGTGCTATAAAATCACAACAGTAGAGAGTCAAGGATGTTGATTCTAAGATGGAGAAGATTTGCTCTTACTTGTAGTTCTTTATTTATTAGAAAATACATTTAAGAAACGTGCCTCAAATTATTACATTTAATTGAAAAGAAACCAATAAGTACTTGATTTCTTTTTTTCCACCCAGTTGCTGGATGTGCTGGAGAAATACTGTATGGCATCTGGGCTAGATTTCCGAAGACTTGATGGAAATACAAAATCAGAAGATAGGATCAGAATTGTAAGAGAATTCAACAGAGTTCAAGAAATTAACATATGTCTTGTATCTACAATGTAAGAAAACTTAACATGGATTCTTTGTATTTCCCTCTGCCTTTTAGTTATGTAGAAGTTTGGATGCTCTTCATTTTACTTCATGATCCTGTGGGGGATTACTTTTTTGAGAGGGTGAATTGTTTTCTTATCTGCAGGCAAACATGAACCCACTACTGTGAACTGAGGCATTTCAAATTTCTAGAGACTTGTACCCTTCCTGTCTCCTCTGCTGGTTAAAATCTGAAACAAGCATATTGTCCAAATCGCAGTTCCAAATTTCCATTGCTGAGGGAGTTAGAAAACACTCAAATCATGTTCCACCAAAGACTTACTTTACTGTAGACAGTCTCACTTTATTGTACCGTACTTGTAGAATGAGCGAATATAAATGTGTGGTGGCTTCAAACTGAAAGCTAGCTAAACTCCACTACGGCATATTCTCACTCCTCTCCCTTCACAAGAATAGGGAGAAGATAACACAGGCCAAAAAAAAAAAAAAAAAAAAAAATCACAAGTTGAGATAAAGGTAGTTTAATTATATGAAAAAAAAAAAAAAGCCAACAAAAAGAAACCAAGCAACTGTTTGAGGTGAGGATAGTTTAATTAAAGAAGAAGAAGGGAAGAGAAAAAAAAAAAAAGCAAATGCTGTGTGGAAGCAAATGGAGAAAACAATTATTCTCTACTTTCTATCAGCAAGTGTTGCATGGTTGCATCTTGGGAATTAGATTGTGAATCCCATAGCAGTTGCTCAGGAGGGAAGATGCTTTCATAACAAGAACTCGCCCTTTTCTCCTTCCCCTTTCCCTCTTTTTGTGTCATGCTAAGCATATCATTAGCAAGGGTATCTCCCTTCCGTGAGTTTAGATCAGCTGTCTTGGCAATGCTTTCTTTTCCCCTTTTGCTCATCCCCAGCCTTCTGGCTTTTGTGGGATGGAAGGGTTGCTGAGATTATCTTGAGGCAGTGCCAGTGCTACCCAGCAACAACTAAAAAACATTGATGCAGTGTCGTTACTGTTCTGAGTAGAAGTGTGAAGCAGAGATGTACCAGATGATTTTCAATTCCAGGTGATGGGGAGGAGCTCTCTCCTTTTCTGGGAGGCCAGCTATGAGGGCCTGCTGATAAAGACTTGGACTGACTATCTCTCTCTCCCTTCCCATTTATTTTTGGTTTGTTTGATTTATTATTCTTAATTATTCTGTATTATCTCATTTTAATAAATTAGTTTCTCCTATCTCAGACAGATTTTTTTACTCTTCGTTCCCCTCTTCTCCCAGGAGGAGGGAGTTATCAAAAGATTAACTCTTCAAAACCACAACATAGACCAAAAACGTTATAAAATATTATATTTAAAATTTTATATTTAAAAATTATGTCATGGTGTTGCTGAAAGTTATTAATCAGGCTCATATGTCTGTCAAAAATACTTCACACAACAGATTTTTTGATAGAAATGTTTTTACCCGTCGAATTTACTTGTAAAATTATGATAGATAAGAATTCCTCTTTGACACAGAGCAATATGTTCTACTGAAATTAATGGAACCGTGATCACAGATATTTGATTTTATTGTTTATTGATTTGTTATTGTTAACTCCATATTTCATCTTATATGAAGTCAAGTACCAGGTAAAGGTATAAAGAACCAAGATAAACTTGTATCTTCCTGCCCAGGGAGAATGTGAGTGGAGCTCCCTGAAACATGCAGTCATGTGTTTATCTGTACTGCTATTTCTGTCATTTGATGAAAGCGTGTGTGTTGGGAGTTACGTAGAAAGGTCCACATTAACCCCATACAAATAGAAGTCAGACATGGTCCTAAAAAACGGTGTAAGGACATGTTAGAACTGTCTTTGGATACCCTCTGAAGCATGTAGGTAGCATTCTGAGGTGATTTGTGGTGCTGGTCATGCAACTTTGCTTATAACCTCACTCAGCTGCAGATTATGGCCATCAGCTTACCTAAGACCTTGGTGAATTCCACTTTGTCCCTGAAGATAGTGAGGAATTACTGCATATGTGCATTAGAAGACTCACTAGATTGCTCCAAAGCATTGAATTTATGTGACATACATAGAAGTGTTGAAAGATAAAGTCTGTATAAAACTAAATATCCTATTTAGTTATTTTTATAGTGAGTCTGTTCTACTTCCACTAGGGCTTTTCACTGAAATTTAATTAGAATTCTAGCTCCAAATACTGTGGGGTTTTTTTTTGTTTGTTTTTGTTTTTTTGTGTGTGAAAGTGTTCAGAAATATGTTGACTTATTCTTCAGTCTGGCTGCAGAGTTGGGTTGGTAGATGGGAGTCTAAATTCTGCACTAAAAAAGAAATACACCAAAATTCCGAAACACAGTAAGTTATTTGAAAAAAACACAAAAATTTTTATTCAGTGTTTAAAACCAAGAATACTGGTTTTCCAGAAACCTCCATTAATATTGTCAGGTTTCTATATCCTCCTTTCAGATTTTGTTAACACTACACTGAAGCACACGTGGAAGGGATAAGCCACAACTGTATTTGCATTAAAAAAATATATTCCATGAAAGCCAGGAGATGGTGGGACTCTATTCTGTCTTGGATTCTGTCTCTGTTCATTCACTTCCTTGTAAATTTTACCTCTCCCACTGCTTTAAATAAGCAGAATATAAAGTAGTCTATTAAAAACAGTTGCTTGCTAAATTAAATTGAGTTGGCTTTCTCAGTTTTGCCATATGTAACGGAGAAAATAGCACTTAGGAAATCAGTGCCACTTGTGACAGTGTAAGGAGTTGGTGTAGAAGTTACATACTATTATTTAGGTTGTAGTTGTAGAAGAGCTTTTGTCTTTTTGTAGGAATGTGGATTTTTTTCTAATACCAGTTGAGCCAGTATAAAAGAATTGACAGTATTTGCTTGTTTTGCAACTGGAAAGTGGGATTTTCTTCACCGTGGTTTCTATCAAATGGTACAGCTATGTGCATACAAATCAAGTAATTGAGATGTTTTGTTAGATTCATGAAGAGCATTAAGTGCTTACCTCAGTTTAAGCATATGCTCGAATTCTTTGCTGTCTTGCTGGCTTTACCTGTAAGTATGCCGCAGGGGTTGAATATTTGAGTATGATGTAACTAGTACCTTTGCAACTCTCACCCCACAATAGTAAATTTTCTTGAATTGATTACAAGAACTGCTTATGTAACTGTGGGAACAACTGTGTTTTCAACAGTTAATACTGTACAAATAAACTGTCACAAGTCTATTTTTCTACATGCAACTCATTAAAATGGTCATAATGTAGAGAAAGATATATGGTGCTATTTTCAAAACTGTGTGCTGGGATTAAAAGAAATAAAATGTCATGCAGACTCTTAAGTCCCTCTTAATTTAAACTATACTTCTATGTCATGCATCTATAATGTTAACTGGCATTAAAATGGTTACGAATTTCAGTATTCTCAACTGTAGTGGTGGTAATGGCAGTTGGTTGTGACTTGTTAAGTCATGTAGTTCACAGTCATCTTGCTACTTGGGTGAAAAGTTGGCATTTCACAATAGTGCTTGTTTGTTATCATCTCTCCATTAACACAAAGCTGTACCCCACTATTTTTGTGCTGTTCTATTATGTCAGAGAAGAGTATGCTTGTATGTATGTAATACACTAAAAAAACACTGTTTTTTTCTTTATTTTTGTATCATTTTTATGTTACTAGGGCTGGTGGATTGGGTCTTAATTTTGTTGGTGCCAATGTTGTTATACTCTTTGATCCAACGTGGAACCCAGCAAATGATCTTCAAGCTATTGACAGGTATGTTCTCAAAATGCATAGCTTGGTCTGTGTTCATTTCTTCTGTTTTGTTTATGTAACCTGGTTGTCCAACAAAGATTTTCTTAAAGGAAGGTCTGATTATCCAGTTCATTTTTTTAGCTTTGATATTCTTATTTTTAACCCTGAATTTCATCTTATTTTCTGTTTTCTTTTTATGGGTTTCTGTTTACCTTTTTAGTGGGTTCCAAAAAATATTTTATAGTTAATGTAACTTTCTCTGATCTCTTAAGAGCAAGTGCATGTATACATATAGCCAGATGACATTTTTCCTATGTTTTTCAGGGCAAGTACATTGTAGTTGAGCCTAGTTTGAGTGATGTTACGAATTTCAGATTCCATTAAGAAAAACATTTGTTTATTTTTTTACCTCAATCCTATGGAGATGAGTCTTTTACCAGCACTCTGAAATTATGCCATTCTGGGACATTTCTAGGAATCTGCATGTTTCTTTTCAGGCTCTGACTACAAGATATTCTCTAGGAGTTCGGGACAAACGTTTGAATTGCTGAAATAAAAGAATATTGACAGCCTTCAAAATTCAGTAGATCTATGTTTTTTTCATGAGCAGAAATGAACTTGTTTATATTGTCCCATCCAATTATATAATTCTACTTTCAAGTTTTTCTGATCTTCAAGAGACATTTATGTGCACTCACGTATCAGAAATAATTGCTATTAAAAGAGACTGTCTTTGAAGAGTAAGATCACACAGCCATAAAATGGTTTATCCTCTCATGAATTTTTAAAAATGGGGTTTTGAATATAATCTATTAAAAGTCTCAGAATTCGTTATTTAGATACTCTGCTGCATGTTTGTTAGTTGTTTTTATGATGTTGCAACTTGCAAAGTTTTTGAAGAAAGAACAGACTGCTGCAAGTAATCCATGGTATAACTTGTATATATAATGCAAACGCAGTAATAACTGGTGCAGTAATAACCAGGTGCAGATGAAGGGAAAAAGAAAAAAAACGCTCTGAAGAAATACTAGAGGTTTTCTCAATAGACAAGTATTGTGGCATTGTGATACGAGACATGAAACCCTTTGCAACTAGATAGACCTGAGAAGAAAAACAGAAAACTACAGAAGAATGAAAAGAGAATAAAATACTGGGAAAATGTGGAGGAAAAGGAAAAAGGCATCTTTTTTTTTTTAAATCGTAAATGATTTAGAGTGTTCCTGTTTTCTTGTAATAGTGATTCTTATTTTACTACGTTAGCTCTCTTTTGTTCTTTACTGATTAAAAAGTATATATTTTTAATAGTTTTTAATAATCCACTTCTTTTTGATAATCCATTTTTAATAATCCTTTTTTTTTTTATAATTCACTTTTTCTGCAGAGCTTACAGGATTGGCCAATGCAAAGATGTTAAAGTATTTAGACTGATATCCTTGGGAACTGTGGAGGAGATAATGTACCTACGGCAAGTTTACAAGCAGGTAAAGTTCAGAAACTATTCAAATCAGTATTTAGTATTGAGGAAAGATAAGTAGTTAAGATACAGAGAGTTGTTAGTAGATTCTATAGTAGATTTCTGATATAACAGTGAGTTAAAAGACTGTAAAGGTATCTTTACTATTCTTACACTATAAAACCAAGCATGTTCATACTCAACCACCATCTATTGTATCAATATCTGCCAAAGAAATGAAAGCAAAATATCCTTTCTTAGGAATTTCTGCCTTCTTCAACTGAGGATGCATATATGGCATGGATGCCAGGAAATTCTAAAGTATTATTGGAATAAACACTTCTGAAATCTCTTGTTTTGCTCTGTTTTAGCAACTTCACTGTGCAGTGGTTGGAAGTGAAAATGCTAAGCGATATTTCGAGGCAGTGCAAGGATCAAAGGAACATCAAGGAGAACTTTTCGGCATCCACAACCTTTTCAAACTTAGGGCTCATGGGTCTTGTCTTACTAAAGACATCCTGGAGGTGTGAAATCTTTCACTTTTGCTTTTCAGTATTTCTTTTATGTTCTTTCTTTCCATCTGAAGTATTTTGTCATAATTTCAAATGGAAGCACTTTATATTACAGAATGGTGAAACTTAAACAGTAATTGTCTGTGTAGTGCCTTACACAGATAGATCTCCTAATTTCTCTCTGATTTACACCAGAAAAACTTCTCTGCATGAAACAAACAATAAAAACTTCATGCATGGATAAGTTTTATTTATCAGTAGCTTAAACTGACCTTTTAAGCAACAATTCCCATTGCAAAATATTGTTATATTTAAGCAAAAACTGCTTAATAAAATATATTTTATAAGGCTTTATTGTCAGAAAAAAAGTACAGGAAGGAGATGTACTCTATTTTTTAAAGACTATTGGCCCAGTTCTAGTGCAAATTCAATTTAAGTGTGTGTGTTATATATACTTCTTTCTATTCTGCATCTTTGTTGCAACAAAGTTTCTTCTTGGAATTTTATTCTAGCCTTTTTTCTATCCATCCGCTCGTAGTGTTCAGTTCCTATACTATGAGGTTGTTCTGAAAGTAATGCCTCCTATGTTACTTTGTTGGCTCATGATATTAGAGATGGATGTTGGTGTTGTGACAGTAGAAGTTGAACCTGCCCACTGATAGTTTGTTACATTTTTTTGCCACGTGGCAGATTGCAGCAAAGGGGAAGTCTGACAAAATGATGATGTCTGACATGGAAATGCATATGGAGCAAAACTGAATTCAGCTGTATCAGCTGTTCTGCTATGGAAAAAAAGTGTAAAAACAGTGTATGCATAAGATGCAATTTATGCAGTGTGTAAGTTGTCCTGCAATTTATGGATTGGGTTAAAATAGCAGAAAATTAATTGTCAAAATGCAAAACCTTTTCTGAGGTTTAGTGATTGTGCTTTTAATACTTATACCTCTGTAGTAAAAATTACTTTTTTTTTTTTTTGTAGGCTTTCTTCATTAATTTGAACAGGTACTGTTTTAATTATATATGTATTTTTTTTATTCTTTTAGAGGGAAGGGCAAGTAGAAGCTGGAGTCATGACAGTGACTACTTGGTTAAAAGAAGAACCTCCTCATGGCAGTTCAGAAAATGTGAGATACTTTGTGGGATACAAAGCAGAGCATGAAAATCTGTGTAGTCTAACAGTAGCAGTAATATATTGCTAGGCTGGTAATGCTTTTGTCTGAGGCTGCAGTTGCCATGTTTTATTGTCTGCTTGCCCATTGTTTATCTTTGCATAGTATTAATGTGTGCATCATGAGGTCACTTTTCAAACTTTTAAAAGATGAAAAGATGCAACAAGCTTTGAAAAAAAAATACTGGTGTGGATTGGAAAAACAAAAGTTGTTTTAGCAGTCAGGAGCATACTTTGTTGGAAAACATATTTTTTTATTGTTATCTTCATTATTATTCTGCTTAAGACTTAGATCTTCCAAACTTTCCGCTATCTACCTGGTGTAAGTAATTTTCTTTTTCTTTTTTTTTCAGTGTGAACAGCCAAATTATGGAGGAGCTAGAGGTCCTTCAAGCACTAAGGCGCAGTTAGAGAGAGAAGAAAGTAATTTTCATGATTATTTTAGTGATGATGATATTCTGGAAATTTCCATGAAAAAAAATAACAGAAAGAAGCCTTGCAGTGCAAATAATTTAATGATAGCAAAGAGACAGCTTTCCTTAGTGCAGTGTGGATTCTCTAACTTGTTGCAGAGAGAAACTGAAGCTACAAAAAAAAGTGGTAGTAATGACTCTTACCATTCAAGTTCTGATGGTCAGGCTGTAAGAACATGTGTCAACAGCAAGTGTGATGATGTTCAGAAATGTGAAAGCTATATGCATATTTTGGAGCACAGGAAAACTGCTCAGTTACCAAATGTAACTGATAAACAAGACATGTATAGAGCAGATTGTCTTGTTTTGTCAGACTCTGAAGAAGAGGTGGACAGAGAAAATGAGGATTTATGCATTTCAAGGCAAAGTGATGTAGTAATGAAAACTGAAAGCAGTTCTGAAGAAAATTGTGATGTCATCTTTCCTACCCAATTTCCAGCAAGCCCCCAAGCAATGCATACCAAAAAAATTGAAATACAGACGACAGAATCTGAAAATTGTGAAGAGTCACTAGAAGAAAAAAATGAGTTTGTACTTAAGGAAGAACGTAGGCAATTTGGATTCCATAGTACCAAATCAAATTTCAGCAAAATCATGTCTTTTGAAAACATGAAAAACAGCGCAAGAGGTTTGAAAGGTGCAAGTGACATAAGTGATGAGTCTGATGACATTGAAATTCCCTGTGACTCCGAGTCAGGAAAGTTAAGAACATTCAGCTTCATGAAAGGGAAACAAAGGCATACACAAAGCAGTGCACTAGGCAGATTCTCAAAATCTCTGCCTCAGAAAAAGAAGCCCTGGAGGAAAGAAAGAGGAAGTGATTCTCAGAATGTAGATGAATTTTCATCCTCTGAAGATAACTTACAGGTTGAAAAGATTCATACCCAAGAAAAGAGCTGTAAGTGTAAAAGCCAGAGATGTAGAGTTCAGGTCAGATCTAAAATGCTCCATCCTGTTCAGTATGGAATGCGCTCTATTGCACAGATGACATCTAGCAATTATGATGTGCATAGAAGTTCTACGCATAGAGCTCAGTTTGACCATCAGAATCAAAATGTGGAATCAATGGACAGATATTTAGGTAAATAGTCATTTAACTTCTTGTGTTTTTTTTTTAATCTTAAATAGTAGTGTCTCTGCTGCAGATTAAGTTCTTCCTTCTATATATGATTTTGTTAAAATAAATTAATAAATGCACTGCTAACTTACTTAGTAATGTCTCTATTGCTCTTTTTACCTGTTAGCTTAACTATTCTATTTTCCAAAGAAATAGGCTTCTCTGTAATATTTTATTGAATGTTTACTTATCTGTTGAAAGATGCTAAGATGGATGTTTAATTAAGAATTCACAAATTTAAATACTTAAACTGTAAAAGTCTGGACTGGGATGGTTTGGATTTTTTGTTTTCCTAAGTTTTTAATTATATGTGACTTGAGAGTTTGAAGTACCACGTGCAAGATTTCATTTGATTAGTGACTTATCTTGAAACACAAGTAAACAAAAACTGTTTGAACAGTAGATGCTTTGAAATTTGTTCTTTATCTAGAGAAGCCCCGTAATGAAATAGCAGCAGCATTAAACTATCTGGATAAAGCTGATGATTTTATTAAGATTTTTTATTAATCTCTTATTAAGAGAGCTGAGAAACCTAGTGTTGAATGAAATTGTAACAGAAGTTACAAGTTTCAAATAAAACTTAATTATTAATAATTAATTAATTGCAGTATCTTTCTTGAGTGTAACTGTGTATCTTGAGAGTTTTGGAATAACCAAAATCTTTGATGATCTTTTTCTTCTGATGTATTAGATGGGATTCAAGAAGTAGCGTATATGCACTCAAATCAGAATGTGGTTGGATCAAGCAAGGCTGAGAATCACTTGAGCCGGTGGGCAATGCGAGACGTATTTGAGTTGAAGCAGTTTTCCCAGCTCCCTGCTAATATAGCAGTCTGTAGTGCCAAGGTAAAGATAAATGTTTGGGAAATGTTTTTATTCTATTTATATCCTCATTTTTCATCTTAAAAAGTCTAACAAACTTGTTTGTCTGTTAATGACCACCATGAATGCTCAATGTCACTGGGCTTGGAGAAGGAGGAAGCGGCTCAAATAATGGTCCAATCAATTACCTTTGTGGTTTTTTTCGTTTTGTTTTGTTTTTCACGTTAGTCAGCTCTGAAAGAGCAGGGAATTGTGCAGCATAGCATCCTCTGTGTGATTTTTGTGAGATAAATGGTAGGAGTAAAGACTGAGTATTTGTAATCAGATTCTGTACCATCTTGATGTGATGTGAAATCTTTAGTTTTAACTGGACCTAGTAAACAAAAATTTCACTTTCCACACCACATCTGGGAATCTCAGTGGCATAGAAAATCAAACATAAGTCAGATTGAAGCTTTTTCTTTTTTTAGGCTGGAAACATGGTTGCTATAATATGTAAAGTTAGTGGTCATTATAGTCTGTCCTTAATGTCTGAAACATAAAACTGGAGTTCAGTGGGAGTACTCTCTTGCAGCAAAATACATATTTTGTGCTTTTCATTGGTCACACATTTTGTTTAATTACATGTGGAATACATAAAGTCTGGAATATATTCAGGTATAGTTTGTATGGTTTTTTTCTGATTATGTTTTTAATCTACTCTAATTATTTGGACACTTCGCTGTTGTTTGCCTTATGATAAATATTTCTGTATTCTGGGATGATTACTTGTTCGGCAGAGAAGGACCTCGGGGTCCTGATGGATGAGAGACTTAACATGAGCCAGCAGTGCGCTCTGGCAGCTCGAAAGGCAAATGGGATCCTGGGCTCCATCAGGAGAGGGGTGGTCAGTAGGGACAGGGAGGTGATTGTCCCTCTCTACTCGGCTCTTGTGAGGCCCCGTCTGGAGTACTGTGTCCAGGTGTGGAGCCCTCAGTACAAGAAAGACATTGAGATTTTGGAAAGGGTCCAGAGGAGGGCGACTAAGATGATCAGGGGGCTGGAGCACCTCCCCTATGAGGACAGGCTGAGGGAGTTGGGCTTGTTCAGCCTGGAGAAGGCTGCGGGGTGACCTCATTGTAGCCTATCAATACCTGAAGGGAACCTACACCCAGGAGGGGAGTAAACTCTTCAAAAGGGCTGACAACAGCAGGACTAGGGGAAATGGATCCAAGTTGAGGGAGGGAAGATTTAGGTTGGATGTTAGGGGGAAGTTCTTTACAAGGAGAGTGGTTAGGCCCTGGAACGGGCTGCCCAGGGAGGTTGTGGATGCCCCATCCTTGGACGTGTTCAAGGCCAGGTTGGACGGGGTCCTGGGCAACCTGATCTGAATGTGTATGTTTGGTGGCCCTGCTAGGCAGGGGGGTTGGAACTACATGATCCTTGAGGTCCCTTCCAACCCGGGTGATTCTGTGATTCTGTGATTCACAAATTAAACTACTGACATAGAATGAGTAATTGATGGATACAGACTGCAGTTCAGTCTTTACAAACATTCTGACAATCACTATAGAAATGACAGACTTTGTCATTTGGAGTGTTGAACATCTGCAGTGGCTAGAAGAGTTTCTTCCAGTGTTGCTGATGTACTGTAGTTAGGTGAGCCATTTGCAGGGATTTTTACACTGGGAAGATCAGACAGACTGGCCAGTGAAAGAGAAGCCTCTTCAGTTCTAGTACATTTGCATTAGAATAACAGAAAAGCAGATCAAAAATACTCAGGAATACTCTGGAAAGATGCTTACTTAATGACAGTGGCTGTCAACATAAATAAAAATCAATATAAATAAACTAATACTTTTAAGGCACTGCTTTTTGCAAGTGTCTGTTGACCCATTTATCTCCAAAACTACTTTGTGCAAGTTCAGTTGTGTTGTTTGTGTAACTTACGTTCTGTCACCTAAAGTTTGTATGACTTACAAGTATTGTAAATTAATTTGTTTTGATTAACTTGTCAATCAGTATAAGGCATTTTGGAAGCAACAATAACAGCAATTCTCTTGGAGACCAAATTAGGCAAGAAAAAACCACAAGTAAATATGGAAAAGTCTACCTCTTGATTTCATTTGCTTTTCTTACTTTGACATAGAGGCATTACTCTAGAAATATTCCTAAATCACTGCCTTTTCTTAAATGTGAATCTTGGAATTCGTTGTTCTCTGCTTTGAAAAATAGCCATTACGGACTCATAGAAATCTTTGAAAAACTATCTACCTAGAAAGCGGCTGCTAATATTTTTCTTTCTTCATTATGTTAATTTCAGAAGATGTTCTCTGAAAAACATTACTCTGAGAGAAACATCAATGTTTTTGTTTCAGCCATCATAATTTTTCACTTGTTTCTCGTCAGTTTAGGGCAGAACATATCTGAGCAGCGAATAGTTTTGTCCTTTAAAGAGTACTGATTTCAAATAGATTTTTTTTTTAATTACACTTAAAGATTAAAATGTTATTACATGGAAATTAAAACAATTACACTTTAATATTACATCACTATCTTAGAGAAATACTATATTATTAATTATTGTATTATTATATAATAAAATAAAAATTATATTATTGAACCCTACGATGTTAACTGTTATCTGATGTTCTTAAAAAAAATTTTGTCAGCTGAAATTTCTTACTGATTTTGCTTTCTAGTGTCGTTATTCTAACAATATGTCTGAAATGGTTGTGTAGCCATTATTGTTCACTTTGAATTATCACATTCTTAAATAATTTTTTTAGCGTATCAAAATTGTATTTGTTGGCATATTAGTGATGCTTTAATAATATTTATTTGATTTTAAGCATATATAATCAAATTGTCTGATTTGTAAGTAGGAGTGGTCACAAAAGTATATTTTCATTTCATAGATAGGCCTCTTTTGGACAAAAGTATAATATCCTTTGTGCTGTGCAGGTCGTTTATCCCAACTTTGTCTTCCTGCTTTTTATTGCAGTCTGTTTGTAATGAGATGTGTTGCCTTTAAATACATTTTTTTCATGTAATAATATCTGGGAAAGAGATGCAACAACGCTAAAAATCAATGAAGTATTCCAGTGATGTGGATGCGTTTTATGTTGGGAAATACTGTCTTTCCTGCAAATCTTGAAAACTGGGTGGAACATTTGTTTTTTGCTTGCATATGAATCTAGAGTGACAGGAGTAATAAGTGACATAATAACAAGTAATAAGAAAAAAGAGTGATAAACAACTAAGACAACCTTATTTGAGAATACTGACATTTTGTTAAATTCTTGGTGTTGAATGAGCAGTTACATTTTGGCTTCACTAAATTCCTATGACATTTTACGCTTTAGCCATTGAAACTAAAGAATTCAAACAAAATTGTGGAAATAAGGTGAATAAGAACAGAAAAGTTAAGAGACTGGAAAGCAAAATTAAAAAAAAAAGCGATCTTGTTTTCTACCTGCAATAGATAAAGTAGATTCACAGAATCACAGAATAGCCAGGGCTGGAAGGGACCTCAAGGATCATGAATCTCCAACCTCCCTGCCACATCCAGGGCCACTGACCTCCACATTCGATAGTAGACCGGACTGCCTAAGGCCCTATCCAGTCTGGCCTTGAACATCTCCACGGACAGGACTTCCACAGCATCTCTGGGCAACCTGTTCCAGCACCTCACCACTCTCTCTGTAAAGAATTTCCTCTTGACATCCAACGTAAATCTCCCCTTCCTCAACTTAAAACAGGTTCCCCTTGTCCTGAAGTCAGCTCCCTGTCTTTCTTGTACTGGGAGCTCCAGACCTGGACGCAGTACTCCAGATGAGGCCTCACAAGAGCAGAGTAGCGGGGGACAATCACCTCCCTGTCCCTTCTGGTCACCCCTCTTCTGATGGAGCCCACGATACCATTTGCTTTTTGAGCTGCTAGAGCACACTGCTGGCTCATGTTCAGTTTTTCGTCTGTCAAGACCCCCAGGTTCTTCTCTGCAGGGCTGCTCTCAAGGACCGCTCCTTCCAGTCTGTACAGATGCCTGGGATTCCTCTGGCCCAAGTGCAAAGCTTTGTACTTTGCCATGTTGAATCTTATCAGGTTCACCTGGGCCCACCTTTCCAGCCTGTCGAGATCCCTCTGAATGGCATCCCTTCCTTCTACTGTGTCAACCGCACCACTCAGCTTGATGTCATCAGCAAACTTGCTGAGGGTGTCCTCCACCTGGACGTAGAGCCATTGATGACCACCCTCTGCAGCCTTTCAACCAATTTCTTATCCATCAAGTGACCCACCCATCAAATCCACATCTCTCCAATTTGGAGATAAGGAAGGGGTTGGGGTCCATGTCAAAGGCCTTGCTCAAGTCCAGGTAAATGACATCGGTCGCCTTCCCCTTGTCCTCCAGTGCCGTCACTCCATCGTGGAAGGCCACCAGATTGGTCAGGCATGACCTTCCCCTGGTGATGCCGTGCTGGCTGTCTCGGATCACACACTCATTCTTCATATGATCAGGCATGTCATCCAGGATGATCTGTTCCATGATCTTCCCAGGCACAAAGGTGAGACTTACCAGCCTATAGTTCCCGTGATCCTCCTTGCTCCTTTTCTTATTAATGGGAGTGACGTGACCCTTCCTCCATTATTCCTTCATAGATTCATTAATTTGTTATTGCTGAAGCATAAAAACTAATGTAGTAAGTTAAGTTACCTACAAATTACGGTAAATTACTAAGACAGAAAATGATGAAAAATAATAGTAATGATAATTATGTGATGTACAACAGAAGTACTCACCAGCCACTAACTAATGCCTAAGCCGGACCGTGAGAATCAGCACCACTTCTCTACTTACTGCAGTTTTCTAATCATGATGTCATATGGTTTAGAATATCCTTTTGACCAGCTTAGGGCAGCTGTTCTGGTTCTGTCCCTGCCCAGTTCCTGGTAGTCAGCATTGTTTTTCTCCTGAAGCCAAAACATAGCATGTCATGGTTTTATGATTTTTGGTCATCAGTATTCCACACCATAACATCATGTAA